GGCCTTGCGCAGGTAGAGACGCCTAGCTCAGATGCTGTTGGTGAGGTCCTGGCTGTTTGTGGTTGCCTGCAGCATCCAAGCTTGAAGTTGGCTATCCTCCAAACTGACTCGAAGCTCGCAGAGCGCGGGGTTGCCTTCGATGTTGTTGATGTTTTGAAGCCACTACATGTGACAGCGATGGCAAAAAAAAAAAAAAAGGTGGGTTACATTGCAAAGCAGAATGAAGCAGCCCTTGTGTGTGAAAAGCCTTTTCGGTATGTAGACTTCTAGATTGATAGGAGGTATGCCAACAGATTAAATCTTGATATCAGAATGAGGGCAATGCTACTCGCCCTCCGCCACAGAGTATATCAACGTTATCAGACCAACACTATAGATTAACTCTTTGTCCCATGAAACACCACGTAGGCATGTGAGGGCATCATCATACCACTGATGGGTAGTTCACAGTAGCTAGCTCCTCAGTCAAGCATGGACCTAACTCGATAGAAAGGTCACGATAACTGGCTTTAATATACCGGCCAATGAATAGCCTCATCAAGAAAGAATGACGAGTTCCTGCCCTCTCACTCTCCCCACCCGCGCTACCTGTCACAAGATCACAAGACTTGTCTCGTGACACTCGTGAGATTGGGCGTGCGGGGAACTGAAACAGGCTGAATGATTGGCGCAGCAAGTGAGCAGATAAGCACATAGGCACAAACCGAAAGATACAGGGAGATCAAAGTGTGGAAGAGCCATGTAAACGGCACTCGAGTGGCTGATCATGGGGTTTCGGGGCTTATATGGACTGGACCAATCTTGCTGCTCATTGAGCGTTTTCGTCGAGGGAAGAGGAATTAAGGTATCGGTTGAGGAGCTCCCGGATGCTCCAACGTCTGGAAGCTACATTCTCCCATGCTTTTCAAGTGATAAAAAGTATCGGCATAATAAACTATGGAAAAAATCCTCTTCTTTCCATGACATTTAGACGATCGCAGAGCTCCAATAGCTAGGTGTTTCTATAAAACTGAAGTTGAATTTTCGGAGAGTGTATATCCATCTTGTTCATGTAACAAGTTTGTAAGAACGAGGTCTCTCATGAGCTGATATTCCAAAGGGGGAAAGCCGGCGAGTTAGTGAATGAGAGACAAGTCAGGGCGAACAGTTGAGCAAACTACTAAGTATAATCCAGGCCAGCTCAACGATTGAAATACCTCTTGTAGTATTCCGGTGAGTCCTGTGTCTCTGACTTCCAACAAACCTGCTGGATTGATAAATGTCACTGATTCTATCTAAAGCGCTGGAAAGGTCTATGAAGTGCGAGAGTATGGCTCGAGGAGACTTGGGCAGCTAGAGAGTCGGCCTTTATATCATATGAGCTTTCACAATGAGTTCCCCAAGCAACCGCCATCGAAATGTTGTGGTTTATGTTTTTCTACCGGTGTTCTCATGTAATAAATGTCCATGGGCGTCTTCCAGGAGCCCTGGATCCGTTCGGAGCGAGATCATTCTGTTCATCTGTATCACTTCACTCTGCACGCATCACACCGTCATTTGTCACAGCAATGACTGATCTCGTGATAGCATGCCATCTGCGTACCTGTAACACTGAGCTTCTAGTCATGGTGGACAGTCACCATGGACAAGAGGTAATAAATTGATGAGTGAGTACAAGCTGGAAGCCGCAAGTAAAACATAGATAGAGGTTGCCATGGGTAATAAAAAGATAAAGCCTTAGTTAACTACATTGATGTGATTTGGAGTTGCTACCTCTGAGGGGCTGTGTTGGTCATATATATGGAGACGAAATTCAATACATCCGGGTTACTTTCCTGTTGTGTTCTTAAATGCTGGTAACAAGATGCGCACGTCAATTCCCCTCTTGTACTCTGATATTTCCCGGGACAATTGTCATGATGTAGAGTTGCGTAATTTTGTCGGGTATCAAAAGCCTAGAACCAGACCATCCCATTTTCCCTATGTCTCCAAAACTCGGATCATACATTCAACTCGCTATATCATACTGCTAGTCTTGCTTTCGGTCAGGAGAGATGCGCTGTCATATCATGACTGGAACGTCAACAAGCGGACTCCGACGACGCATCCTTCCTGAAGTACGAGAAGAGGATAAGCAGATACCTATTCTTCTGAGCCGACTCGTTCGCTGCTCTCAGGCTCTCCCAGCTCAAACAATGCGGCGCACACAATAAGGGTTTCACACTAAGTTCCCGGGATTGTGCCCGAGCATGAGCGGGCAGAACCCTGCCATCTTCCTCACTCCAGCCGGCCAGCTACGAAACGACATAGAGCACATAGCCTCCCAGCAACATCAGCACTTCACTTAAAATTATAAGGAGTGCCTATCCGGGAGATCAAAATTGCGAGACGACATACTCTCAATATCCCCCCAGCGTAGCCTCTACACAAATCAACCTGATCTGCTTCTGCTTCGAGTCCCCAGGCAAGTCCCCAACGGGGATCCTAATATCCCTCCTCTTCACAGCTACAAACCTTGCTTCCTTCATCACTCTCTGCTGCATCCCCTCCAGCATATCAAACGTCCACCCCGACCTCTCCCCAGCAAAACGGAATAATTTCTCCATCTATCCCAGGGGACTGTCCTCAGTAATGGAAGCGACTGTGCTAAATCGCCGGTGTCCGACCTTGTGATGCTCGAGCCATCCCCCTGGTTTCAGGCAGCGAAAGGCTTGGCGGTAGAGTTTGTCCCAGTCGAGGATCTCAGCTGGTGAGGAAGCGGATGTGGATGAGGTTGAAGGTGTTTGCGGGCCAGGTCTAGTTTTGGTCTGCGTCGTCGATATCGAAGGTTACGTTGGGAGGTATGTCCATCTTGGTTGGATGGGGGTTATATCTGTTCCGAAGACCTCGAAGTTGAGGTATCGATCGGCAAAGTCTCTAAAAGCAAGTGATATTGGTTAGGGGCGTGCTATTGTAGGATTGGGGGCGTGGGGTATTGAGACGTGCATCGCCCAGTGGTCTGAACCGGTACAAATACCGAGGAATTTCTCGACCTTGTCTGTTTTCAATAGCGAAAGGAAGAGTTTATTGTTCATGGCCAGGTATACCACGTAGTGTCCAGATTCTTCAAATCAGTAATCGATATCCCTAGATATCGGCCTACAGCACAAAAGAGCACGCTTATTAACTCTGCTCACATCAACTTTGAACTCTCAACATGCTTGCCATCATTTGAAGCACAAGACTCAACGTTGTGCAGTTCATGGTAGTAGGTCCAACCAAAAAAAAAAAAATTCCTGGTACATCAGGAAGCTTATCGCGAAGAGAAATGGTGCTGCTGGGATTTCTCTCTGCTACCACGGAGTCTGCATCGTCTTCATGTTGTTCTTCCGGGGGAGGCTAAGAGAAATACTACATCAGTGGGCACGTAGAGAAAACCGAGCTTGTCTCTCTTGTCTTTTGGTCTATGGGTTACTGGTTCCTGGGCATGTGCTTTCCATAACGACTTCCAATGGGATGCTGGAAGGATACCCGGAAGTGATGTGGCCTTTGTATCCTTTGATTCTGACATTGTGTACGAGGTAAGAGTAAGGCAGACAGGAGGACAAAGCATAAAGAATTTCATATGTTATCCAGACAGACAAGAGGGAAGGATCCAGTGTCAGCGCAGACCATATGGAATCTTGCAGACAGAGATGACGGAGAGCAGATATACCTACCTATCTAAGGACTCCGGAGAAGTAGGACCCAAAGAGAGGACCAGCATTCCTCTGGACAGCTCCGCATGTACATGCATACGGAGATTACTTCTAACCCATTAACAAACCTTGACGAGTACCACCTAAGTGTAGCTCTTCGCACCACAGTCTGCATCTAGCCAGTCATGTGCGGAGCCTGCGTTGACCCGAAACTACTCCTCTCAGTCGAGCATGTTTCACCTCATCAAAACACCTCTGTGGTTTAATTTTTGGAGGAAACAATTTCCCCAGAGATTAACGGGCATCTGTGTATCTCTTGGTTAAGCTCATGCTTGTGAGTTAGCTGATAGTTATCTTTTTTTTCTGTATCTTCCTTCAACCCTGGCCGAAAAAAAAGGTTTCATCAACTCACTCTCTCCATATCTAAGGTAGGTACGGAAAGCCGGCCTCATCGGGGAATCGGTAGGCGGCGGGATTGACATCCGCTCCGTGGAAGAAACGCAGCCGAGCGCTCGTCGGGGCTTCCCAAAATGATAATAGATATGGCGCTGATCATGCCCGTTGGCTGTGTTGCTGCATAATAAAGTGGATAGACATGGTATGTTTCTCCAGTGTTTCTGACCTTATGTCTTAGTCAATAATGGGTTGGGGTGGGACTGTCTTGGAGAGCTGCCTGGTGATACGTAATACGGGTAGGAACAGATCGTGGCTGGTTATGGACAGGTCAGAGAACTGCAGGATGAAATCTGGAAGAGGGATGGTAGAGAACGGGCAAGATCAACGACAGCAACTTAACTCTCATTACTTCACTGCAGCCGGTTACAGTGACGGTGAAACAGCGAGAACGGTTGGGGTTCCATTTCTAACAACAAGTCGGGCACTCTGTGTGCATAGACGGAGAATCTTTAACAATTGAAAAGAGTTACAAGCACTATGTAAATAGCAATCTGTATGTGTATGATGATAGGCACCAAAAAGCCATATGATGTGTAGATAAGTAAACATGGTATCATCCTCTCTTTGCAGTATCTTGAATCGAGATAACAAAAAAGATACCCAAAGCTAGGATGTCGAGCCCCTCTTCGGTATCAAACCTATCAACCACTCCGTCTCCCCGCCGGGCCTCTGCCCCCGCCCCCGCCAAACACTGCTGAGAGAACCTCCCGTCCATCCCCAGCTCCTTACCCTGTAGGACAGTAACTGACTTGGCCCCACTGCAGAACTTTCAGTGGACCGGGGCAGTGTTATCCTAATGAAGCCAAGATGATCGACTTCACCTCTCCGTCTTCCATCTTGAGGAGACCCAACCACACCTGTCTTGCTTGCCATGACATCCCGGCGAGCCTAAAACACACTTCCTTGCACCCCATCTTCCTTCACATCCTCCTCCCCATACAGAGCATCATCTGCCTGGTCAGACATCTCCGCAGCAGGCTCGTTCACAATTAAATCCCCTCCTCCCGTATCTCCCGTCGCCGCCTTCCCTTTCCCAGCCTTTATTGACCCAACGCTCTTATCCTTTGGTCGCTTCGTGATCTTCGCCTCGCGCTCATCATCCGCCTCGAAGCCGTCCCGGGACTCGCGGTCATGCTCGTCTGATTGATGATCCTGTCCACTTTGTTGTTGTTGTTGTTGTTGTTGTTGTTGTTGTTGTTGTTGTTGTTGGACCTCCTCCTGCTGTTGCTTGTTATCAGGATGATGCGGGCAGTCAGGGTGATGCTCGTGTTCCTCCTCCAGCTGGCTGTGCTCATCTTCACTATGGGGGTGATCACCAAGCTTGCAGGCGCGAGCACGGGACTGGTCACGCTTTTCGACCCGGGGAACGACATGGAGCGTTGACGTCGAGTTTGTCGCTAAGCTGGTCAGCAGAGACGCTAATAAGCTTAGGTCTGTCTGTGTGGCAGCGTCTCTCTTGGTCCCGTTGGCAGAATTGGTGCCTGATGGTGTGCTCGCGACGACGGTTGCAGTTGTAGTAAGGGAAGTTGTGCTGGCAACAGGCGTGGTAAAGGCTGTGCGCTGACGGCCGTTCTCATCTTCGGCCCCGGAGTAGGACGACTCGGCGCCATCGTCGCTCACAGCACTATTGTGGCCACTGTAACTGCCGCCGAAGTCGCGTCCGTAGTGTATCTTGACCTGCGGAGGGGGCGGGATGCTGGGGCTCACGAGACGCGAACGCAAGCGGTCTTCAACCGAAATGAACGATGGAGTACCATCAGGGCTGGAAACGATGTCCTCGCGGGCCTTGGAGATGTCGATCTGCGGACCGGTTATGATGACTGGCCCGGCGCTCTCTCCGTTCTCTCGCCCTGGTTGTGACTGGAAGCGTTTGGCAGCTGGACGGCGTGCCACAATCGTCTGACTCTGCGCAGTGCCGTTGAAAGACGGGTTGTGGACGTTGGCCGAGCTGTTTGCTTGATTGACGCCGTTTGTCCCGTTGGGGACCGGTGTAGCCGTGCCACTGGTGTTATTACCAGAGTTATTATTAGCATTATTACTACTGGTCGAACTGTTAGCCTGGTTGGAGGCCATGCTGTCACTCTTGACTAGGTCGGCATAGGTTGAGCGGATACGGAAATTCTTGTCGTGATTACACCCATTCGGGCAACCTCCCCAACGTCGACGGGGTTCTTGTGAAACACGGTCGAGCAGAGAGAGGTCCTTCAGCGTGTCGGGGTCTTGCCCCCTCTCCTTAGCCAGCTGGAGTGCGCGTTGTCGACGCAGCTCAGACCAGGTTCGTAGTTTGTTCTCGAGGATATACTTGCCCTGCTCGTTGCGGCGCATGATGAGGAATTCGCAGTGGTTGACGTTCCGCAAATCCTCGAAGTACTCGACGCTAAAGTGGTACCACTTCATGAGGAAGATGCGCGACATGAGGCCGTGTGTAACCAGGACGCAGACGCTGGCAAAGTCGTCCTCGCCGAACTGGCGCCACAGGGACTCGTTAAAGCCGCTGATGCGGTCGTAGGCATCAGCAGCGCTCTCGCCGTTCGGTATGCGGTAGAAAAAGTGGCCGTAGTCGGCGCGCTCCTGCCACATACGCTCCATCTCAGCGCTGCAAGGCTGGAAGTTGCCAAAATCCTGTTCGCGCAGGCGCGGCTCCTCGTAGACCTTGATCTTCTCGCGCTTGAACGGGCTGGGTCCCATCTCCGGATCATCGGCGCAGAGAGTGGCCAGAATACCCTCGGTGGTCTCGCGCGTGCGGCGGTAGGGAGAGGTGAAGAAGTGCAGGGTGTCGTCGGGGCGCAGCATCTTGCGCAGGCGTCGCCCTGCGTCGTATGCTTGCTGCCATCCTTCCTGGGTCAGCTTGACGCGATGGTCGGGGACGGTCTGGTGGATGTCGCGGTTCTCTATTGCCAGTCAGCATGCTCCCCTCTCTTGCGGGACCCGTCCAGCTCTCAAAGATGTCCGGTGCAACGTACTGTTGCCCTCGCTCTGGGCATGGCGGATTAGAATGATGAGCCGTGGCTTTCCCATGGTCACTGGTGCATGCCGGACGCAGCGTTACAACTGGATCCTTGACTTCGGAAATTGGAAACCTGGAGCTCTTCAGATCGATGCTGGATGCGGATTTCCTCCGACGGTGTTTGGGTTATGTCAATCTGTGATCGAAGTTCGATGACTTGTGGGTGGTCTCAGCAACTTATTGAAGATTCCCTGGCCCACACTCGACCCGCGCAGAGGCCCCTCCCTTGTCTTTTCTACCCTGGCGCAGGGGTAGCAGGGTAACAGCCCCGCGTTTCGGCTAACCCAATCTGATGTGATCGGATCCCCTACCAACCAATGAGCGATAGCCACCCGTACCCAATTTGTCAATTACCGTACGAGCCTTACGGAAATGACGGCAGGGCTCGATGACAGTTACGGATGTACAGTGATGACATAGACTATTGACAAGGCTGCATTGTTGTGTAACGCGAGCATTATGTGACCTCATGAAGCGTGTGTTAATGATTGCTTTAACTACACAATCTTCCATTGAGCAGCATCCAATAAGCCTTTGTCTGGGTGAAATCGCTGCTCGAAACCCGTTTAATACAAAGGGCCCCGTCCATTGGCGTCGTCGATCAATTGTCGGCTTACAAGTATCACGTGCCACCATATGGTACGTATACACTATGTAATGTAAGTAACTTTCGTAAGGGTTGCTTTTTTGGGTCTCTTTGTCATCTTGGCTCGCGTATTATTTCATATTCACATCTCTGCTGAACATCGACAAAATGGATCGAGTTTCTCTCGGATAACAAACGCTAGAAACATTCTAGAAAGGAGAATCAGCCCACGCCGCACAGATGCCGGGATCCATCAGGTCCTGATAATTTCCAGCATCAATACCAAATCCCTATGGACTTCCTCTTCAGCTTGTCAAGCATAAATCACGACATTGTTTGCCTACGCCTTGGTGACCCAAGCAGCGGAGAAGCAACTGGTTGAATCCTCACAGCATTATCACGGCCGTATCGCTCCAGCAACAACGCCATCTCCCTGGTCAAGTCGTACGTCGGCTCCCATCTCGGTAACGGCTCTTTTCCAAGGTCTGCAGGTCAACTGGCCGTGTATTATGTGCGATCGCCGCTGTGGGCCGACGTCCGGGATCTGCGCAGAGACGCTCTTTTCAGGTCAGCGGCTCCGGTGTGCCCGGTCAGTATAACCGGCAGCAGTCTTGGTTGATGAAGTCTTCCTTGTGTCCGTGGCTGTTTTTTTTGGAAGGGGGGGTGTTGTATGCCGGCATGAAGCACCAAGCTGTCTTGCTGCTCTTACGCGGTCCTGTTTTAGAGGCACGAAACAGCCAGGAGATTCTGCGGGATTGACGCCGGATCAACGTTTATCACTAGTACATCACTCAGCCCTATAGCTCTCCGTTAGTGATGGCAATTGCACTGATAACAGCAGCAGGAATACTGACCTACATACTACACAATGTATGCCCTCACTTTCACAACCATACTTACCTCGACACACCCCCATACGATACAGTTTTCCCCTCTTACAGACCACTCACCTATCTCTTGATAAGCTTTCTTCAAGGTCTCCAACCTTTTTCGCATTCTCCCCTCCTCCCAAGACCACCATGACGGTTAAAAGGTGGTGCCACTCGCCGCCTCTCACGCCCTCCGATTGGCCGGGCCAAGCTATCAATCGTCTGATGGCGGCCGAATCAAAGCGTTTCCCGAGTCCCAAGAGCAGCTGTTTCACAGTTCGGGGGCTTGCCCGAAATCACAAGCGCCGCACGCGGGTCGCGCGGGGACGGCGGCTATGGGATTTTAGGAAATATTTGTGTTGCTTGGTAAGCGCGGGTTTGGTACAGGGTTATTATGGTAGAGTAAGACTTTTTTTTTTTTTTTCATCCGGTGAAGACGCGAGGTCGTTAGCGTGGTTTGCGTCGAGGGCTGAAAGTATCGGTACCGAGTAAGTCTCTTTGCCCTTTTTCTTGCCATTGTTCAACAACTTCCCTTTCCGAGTAGGTCTTCCGTATAGATCACATCACTTCTCGCTTCTGGAGAACTCCATGTAGGTAAGTACGTATACCTCGGTAGCACTCATACCTACTTCTCGCTCAATATTTGCCTTCCTCGTATCACACAAGCAAGGGGATCAGTCGATGATGCGTGGGTTCGGCAATCGGTACCAAGGATGCCGGAAGTTGTGATTCATGAAAAATGTGGAAATTTGTGCTCGAAGGAACGAATAAGACACCAGACAAATGTTTCCCAGACCATGACCCTGCTGCCGCCAAGCCGGCCGTCTCCGCCAGTCTCCGTACGCGTGGTGCGAAAGAAAAACAGTTGACAGGAGATGGTGACTTTGACTTTGGTGGATATATGTGGCTGTGCATGGAGGAGATGTGTGGCTAATAGCAGAAAGGACTCCAAGACGAGGCTGAAGGCCAGATCCACTTTTGTTGCAGCCAGGCTGGCAGGCTGAGCTCGCGTCTTTTGTACTGACGCGACAACTTCAACTCCTCCATCGCAAACCATCACCACCATAACCATTTCCTACCGACTTCCCATAAAACAGTTCAACTCCGCACCGAACTCTCAAATTTATACACATCAGAAACAGTCAAATTTTTTGTGTCAAGCTCAAGCTTTACAGACAACTTCAAATAACCCCGTCATAATCTCTTAACCAACCAACAGCATCTCACCACACAAAACCCTCCCTCCCGACCCCCCCCCCCCAAAAAAAAACAAAATAAAATAAAACAAAACTGAACAAAACACAATGCCCTCCGACGAACGACCTGCCAAACGTCGCCGCCCCCTCTCCCCGCACGCCTCCCAAGCAGCCCAACTAGAATCTCTCTTCTCCAATCCAACCCAAGAAATCAAGATCCCCACGCGGTGCATCCCCGAGCCCAAGCCTCTGCCCCCGCCGCCGGACATCGTGACCAATGTGCAAGGCTCGAGCGCAGGCGCCGGGTCCGGCGAGTTCCATGTCTACAAGGCGGCGCGCAGGAGGGAGTACGAGAGACTGAGGCGGATGGAGGAGGAGCTGGCGAGGGAGAAGGCGGACAAGGAGTTCGAGGAGAGGCGGCTGGCGCGGGAGAGGGAGGACGAGGAGAGGACGAGGAAGAATCGGGAGAAGAGGGAGAAGAAGAAGAGGCGGAAGGTGGAGAATGCGAAGAAAAAAGAAAGAGCAGTGTGGGAATGACAAGCAGGGTAACGGGGGGAAAGAGGAGAAAGAGGAGGAGGAGGAGGAGGAGGGGGGAGAGGGCGATTGTGAGATGAAGGGTGCTGGGCAGAATGGGCAGGAAAAGAAGAAGGATTATGAGGGCGAGGAAGAGCAGAATGATGGTCATGAGGGGAAGAAGGACGAGGATACGAAGCCGGCTATCCCGGCACCGCCTGCGGTGCCGATGGTTAATAACGATGGGCCGGGGCTGCTCATCCACGACGATGACTGACAAAGTTGTCACTCTCACTCTCCGGAAAGGAAATTCGTACCATTGGGAAGGCAAACCAGCCGGCATAGCACAGACTTGATCAGGAGAATCTGTTGGGCAACTCTTTTTTTTTTTTTCTATCCACATAGGTAGTCACGGCACGCCCACATCCCAAGAGCACATTTACAGACACAGCTTGGGGTATTTCTTTCCTAGCTGCTCATCTACATACCACAAACATTTCCTTCTAATAACCCCATCTAATCATCCTGCGCAGCACCACCGGTCCCCACGCCGGGCTGCGCCTTTCTGGCGCTGCAGATATCGTCTACCCTGAGCAAGAGACACGCGGCCTGTTGAACGATTGTTAGTTTAGTTCGCAGTGTACTTGAAAAAAAAAAAGAAATATAAAAAAAATATGTAAATAAGATGCTTGGGGGGGGGGGGGGGAAAATACATACCTCAATAGCAGTCTTCATACTTTGCACCTTAATCGCCTCCGGCTCCCAAACCCCATACTCCTTCATATCGACAACAGCACCCGTATCCCCATTCACGCCAAACGAATGCTTCCCCTCGGCATGCTTGGCCCTGAGCTCCGTCAGCACCCTGACGGGGCTCTTACCCGCATTCTGCACCAGCGTCCTAGGGATGACCTCCAGCGCCTCGGCAACCGCCTTATAAGGCCACTGCTGCACGCCCTCAATCTGCCGCGCCATCTGCGCCAGGCGCACCGACACGGCCATCTCGGTCGCGCCGCCGCCGGGCGACAGGCGTGGGTGGAACATGACGTTGCGCGCGACGCCCATGGCGTCCTGCAGGTTGCGCTCGATCTCGTTGAGCACGTCCTTAGACGGGCCTCGCAGCAGGATGGTGCAGGCCTTGGGGTTCTTGCATTGGGTCAAGAAGGTGAAGTACTCGTCGCCGATCTTCTCGATCTCGAAAAGGCCGCAGCCGGTGCCGACGTCGGACTCCTGCAGGTCCTCGACGCGGTTGACGATGGTGGCGCCGACGGCGCGGGCGATGCGGTTGTTGTCGGTCTTGCGAACGCGGCGCAAGGCGGTGACGTTGGCCTTCATCAGGTAGTGCTGAGCGAGGTCGGAGACGCCCTTCTCGGTGATGACGAGGTCGGGCTTGACGGCCAGGATGGCGTCGCACATGGCCTTGACCTGCTCCTCCTCGATCTGTAGGATGCGGTTCCAGTCGTCCTCCTTGGTGATCTCGATGTTGGTCTGCGACTCGCCTTTCTTGTACTCGAGCGGGCAGTCGAGCAGCACGATGCGCGGGTTCTCGATGCGCCGCCGCATCTTGGGGTGCGTGATGTCCTTGTTGAGCATGACGCCGTCCAGCACGCGGCTGTCCTCGATCTCACCGCCCGGCACCTTCTCGACGCGCGCGTACCGTTTGATGTCCACCTCGCGCTTGCCGTTCGCCTCCCAGGTCACGGTGCGCACGGCTTTCAACGCCAGGCTGCACATCAGGTCGGACCAGCGCGAGACGAACTTGGTGCCGATGGACGCGTTGATCAGCTTGTACATGGCCTTGTCGTCGTTGACGTCGATGGGCATGGAGATCTCCTCGATGATCTGCAGGGCGTCCTTGAGGGCGCGCTTAAAGGCAGCGATGATGTTGACGGGATGGATGTTGCGCTCGAGCTGGGGCAGGGCCTGTGCGAGGATCTCGCCGGCTGTGTTGTCCGTTAGCCTTTCCGTCCCACAGTATAACCAACCTGAGCAGAGAGGACGCACCCAGAATGATAACCGTCGTAGTCCCATCGCCAACCTCCTCGTCCTGGGTCCGGCTCAGCTCAATCATGCTCTTGGCCGCGGGGTGCGATACCTCGATCTCGCGGAGGATAGCATGCCCATCGTTGGTCAGCACGATGCCGCCCATGGGATCGAGCAGCATCTTGAGCATGGCCTTGGGGCCGAGGCATGACCGGATGATGTCGGCGACGCTGCAGGGTTCGGTATCAGCGGGAGTCTCGACTCGAGAGAAGAGAATAGAATGGCGGGGTATGGACATGGGGGACTAGATTTGATGTCAAAGGCCCGCGGGGCAGGTGGGTAGGGAACGGCATACGTCTTCGCGGCAGCAATATTGGAGATCTGGGCGCGGCGACCGGTCGTCCGGTCACCGCTCTGGGTGTCTGTTGAGCCGTCAGCAACGGATATCCCATCGGGAAGAGGCAAGGAGTTGGTGATGCGGGGAGCTGTACTCATTACCAAGACAGGGGCCTGCATTTTGCCTGTCTGTGTGCCTCACCCTCTTCTGTGCTTTCTATCACCTTTCTAAGGCTCAAAGTATTAAGAAATAGAAAAAAAAAGGAAGACGAGAATCACAAGAGCAAAAGCGCTCAGTTGAGGATGGGCGGCGTCGATGTTATTTAGAGTTGTCTTGTCTCCCAGGCAGCTCGACGAAGTCGATGGTCGACGGTCGACGGGCGTGCAGTGGCTCTGGGCTCGCCTGGGCCCAAAGGTGGGATGGCGTCCAGAAACTTTCAGAATCGGACCCACCCAAGCTTCCACCCGTATTGAGCAAGTGGGGCTTAGCTGTGGGGCTGACCGGATCAACAGGTCCTCCGCTGTCTCTAACCAGAGAGAAGAGATCGGTTGATGGCTACTATGGCAGAACTTAAAGGTTAGGCGGATGAGTGACAGTGATAGACAGCAGCCTGGAAAACCATTTCTCATTGAATCGAATCCTAAGTACATATACATAATCATCAATACCCTCTCCTCCGCATCCGTCATCCAATCCCCTAAGTAATAGCAATAATAGCAATCACCAGAGGAAATAGACATCTATATACGTACTTGAACTTTGGTTCTTTTTTTTTCTGTTGTCGCCGATGGGACGGATGATGAGCTGTTGCGTCGACAAGACAGCACAATACCTCTCCACCTCTCTCAGAAGCCTTCCCTCTTGAAGCCTTCAGACATTAGTGTTTAAATAGAAAAACAACAAGACAACGTGTATATGGTAGTAGAGAGAGAGAGAGAGAGAGAGAGAGAGAGAGAGAGAGAGAAAGAGAGTTTTGTGTGCGCAAAAAATCAAAGAATGGTATAACCGTCACCAAAGCTTCTTCCAAAAAAAAAAGAAAACACCTCCAAGTTTTTATTTTGAAAAAAAATCTCATAACACCAAAACAACAGCAGGAAAAAAGAAAGATCAATTCATAAAAAAAAAAACAACCTCTCATTCCTTTCCAACACCTCCTTCCAGCTGAACCATTACCCCCTCCCCTCTTCAACCTCTCAAAAATTTTGAGAGATCCCTGCCGTTTGCTGCGGGTAATGCGGTAAACTCTCGATCCTCGTATTCCTCCTAGCCGTAACATCCCTAATAACGGGCGGTCCTCCCGGAGCGCCCGGCTGCTGCTGCTGCTGCTGCTGCGGCATCATTCCCGCCGAACCGCCGTACCCGCCGTCCATATACGGATTGCCTCCATATTGATCATAATAGGTCCCCGGCCCGCCATACGCGACGCCAATGGGCCCATCGCCCGACCCGTCCGACCTCCCCGCGGCACTATACGACGAGGAGGCGTTGGACGGCCCGCGATGCACGCCCACACCACCTCCGTTGCGGTTGCCCGACGCAGCAGGTCCCATGGCACCCAGGATCTCGCCTTCGGGAGATGGGTGCATGTCACTCATGAGGGGCTCGCCAGAGCGGGAATCAGCCGAGATCGGGGCGGCGGCGACATGGGTCGGCGGGGATGACGATAGCACAGGGCCAGGCCCACCAGACAGAGTGGTAGACGGCTTACGCGCGGTGTGTCCGGTCGATCCCCAGCCGCGATAGCCAGCGGTATCGTCCTCGCGCATCTCGTAGGCGCCTGCACCGCCAATGTTGGGGACTGTCGGGTCCGCGTTGGGGTTGTAACCGTATTCTTCGACCTCCTTGCGACGCTGCTCCTCGGCGTCCTTGCGTTGCTTGCGCTTGCGCCAGAGGAAGATGCCCGCGAGCACGAGCAGGGCGACGGCGGCGATGGGCACGACGACGGCCACGGCGATCTTGCCGCCGCTGCTGAGCCCGCCGCTGGGGGTGTTGGTTGAACTGATGGCCGGGTTCGTGCTCGTGGATGTGCCTGAGGACAGAGTGGGAGAGGTGACACCTGGGTTGTTGGGGGGGGCCTGGGTCATGGTTTGGATGATGGTAGTTGTGCTGGTTTGGACGTCGGGAGGGGACCCCGGGTCGGTTGGAGACTGATTGGTCGGCGTCGGGGTCGGGGGGTCGTCATCTTTACTGGTTGGGGTTGGCTGGGTCTGTGGTGGTGGGTTGGTAGGTGTCGATGAGCTCGGAGGAGACTGAGTCGACGATGATGAGGATGGAGGGGGAGTCTGGCTTGTCGGAGGGGGGTTATTGGTGGTTGACGATGGCGGCGGCTGCTGGGCAGTCGTCGAATTCGGAGGGTTTTCTGACGTGATGGTGTTGTCTGAGCCGCCCGCAGTTGAGTCCGACATGGCGAGTGGATAAGGGCGCCGGGGGCGCGAAAGGCCTGTGTGGAACAGTCAGAAGCTGTGTTACTCTGAATGCTCGCTAGCTACCAGACATGTAGTATCCGCATTGTCATCCGAGAGACGGGAATCGCAGTGCAGGAAAAAAAAAAAAAACTAATGGTCGCTGAGAGGGGGCAGCTCCAAACCCGCAGCAGCAGCAGCACAACCCAATGCAAAGCAACAGCTGGTCCCAGACAAATACAACGACAGCTAACAATAGGGGGGGATAGAAAACTGGACCAACGCACCTCTAGCGAACGAGTGAAAAAAAAAAAAAGACAAAAGTCGGGATGAAAGAGCCAGAGCCCGGCAACAAGTGACGCGCTGTGGGCAGCTGCAAAAAAAAAAGGGTATTGTGCCGTGCAAAAGACGCTGTACGCTGTTGCGCTGCGCTGGTAAATGGAGCAAAGCCGAAGCAAGTCAGGTCGACGACAGGAGCAGGCGCTGCCGTGTCAGACTGTCTGTCGGCCGGCCGGTTGGATCGGATGGTCAGGTCAGGAGAGTGAAGAGTTCGGGCAGTCAGGATGCTGGGCTGTCGCAATGCATGGGCGACCCTGGACTGGAATTGACTCAGGGACCTCAGGGACCTCAAGGACTCGAGGACTGCAACAGACCGTGCACGAATAAGCGCGTGGGCGCCGTAAGACAGTCCGAAAAAAAAAGACGAGCGCGCCGGAATCGACAGTTGCAAGGCAAAAAAAAAAAAAGGCGTCAAATATTGCTAAACGTTGTCGGCGGGCTGGCACGAAAGAAAAGTCGAATTCGAATCTGGCTTAACTTGATTGGAGGCAGCGAGCGATCAACTGGTTGAATTGTTGGATTGGATGGATGGGGTCGGGACAAAATAAAACGAGAGAACGGGATGTGATGGGACGGGGACTTGATAGATGGACGGATGTGCCGGCTGACAAAAGGAGTGGAAGCCAGCAGCAGCACACAAGGCAAAGCAAGCAGGCAAGACAGCAGAGAATGGAGCGCAGCAGCGTTCCCATCCCAGCAGGAAATTGAGGGTAACCTTTTTCTCTGCTGAGCCCGACGAGACCCTGGCCTCCAGCCCACCTGCAGTGTTCCCGATGACCCTGCGCCGTCCAGGGCAGCGCCCCCTCCACGGCTCCCTGCTTGGCCATGCTCCACTCGACCATTCCCGTGGACAGTACCCTCTCACGGCGCGCCGGACAGTGCGCCCAGGCAGTGTGCAATGATGCTCGGCCTGGGAGTGGCTTGCCATTTCCGGCAAGTCGCTGTGCGCTCTCCTCGGGGCTGCATTTCCGTCCCCTTTTCTCTCTTTTTTTCTTTTTTTGTTTTTTTTTGATCCGATCTCTTTTTCATCTTCGATTCCTCCCAAGCGAACTAACATGTTGCCTTTCGTCTAGAGTAAACAAGGTCACTTATGCCTTTTTTTTATTATCTACAAGTTCAGATGGATTGGAGGTGCACATCGTCCTGGGGCCGGAATGTTCCTGGAGCAGTTGAGGGTTGAGCGTTTTTGTCACTGGTTTGTGGGGCCGCGGATAGGTTTGCTGCAGGACTTTGAATCGGCCGCACGCGCTGCAAAAGCAAGGATAGCAAGGATGCTGCTGTCAGTGGACCAAGGCTTCGCTTGCTAGCAAGATAGAAAAAACGCGTGGCGCTGGGCCGGTGACCTTCTATCGAAACGGGCATTTAATGCCTTCTCATATCTATCGATCGCCATCAACAAAAATGGCAGTCCTGAGCCGGTGTTTTAGATGCGTCTATCGGCATTTCGTCCAATATCCCATGCTGGGTATCTGTTTGTCAAGTGTTCCAGTTGGCCATGAACCTGAAGATTGAGTCTGTTTCGAGCTGAGTCAGGGTGGGCCTCCAACTGCTTTACACGTTGAGCTTGGCCAGGCATGCATCTTTTGGATGGGACGCGTTCGAGAACTCGGGTTATGTTTGTCCGATTCTTGTCGGCCATTTTTACACCATGGGCAGGCTTGATTTTATCGCTTTTGAACTATCCAGACGTCCATTGTCAGTCTGATCTGTGCACAGTCTTTGTTTTACAGGATGGATTCATCCCAACTCGACTCAGGATGGCACGGTGCCCAAGCCATTGCACCCCTCACGACGCAAGCAGCTTTGCGAAGACTCGAATTTGAAGATGTTGAAGATTGGCTGGACACTTTCTCTTTGAGATGTGCCAATGAGCAACCAAGGTCTGAGACATCCATTTCAAGCGAACTCACTGGGCGATCCCCCACAGCGCGATCGCGATCTGTGGGGTTAATTGTCTGCTGTTTCAGAGCAGTTTATCGCCTCATCCCAGTTATGGATTTGGGGCCGTTGAACCTAGGTTTTTTTTTTTGGTTGTTGTTGTTGATTGTATTTCATCTTTGTGTCTCGATTACATACACCTACCTCACCGACGGCAACCGCCAAGCGATCCCGAGTACCTTACCTAGCTAGGTACTTAGGTGCTCGAGAGGCTATGCTCCCTCGCATTTCATGTGCGAGGGCAGTGCAGAAGTTGGTGTAAGTGCAGATGAATTGGCTTTCAGACAAATGAGAACTTCGATTGGTGTCAAGCAGATGCATCTCTGTCCGACGGCTGTTAGACCATTCTATTGGACCATGCACGTGGTCCCACAAATGTGTCGAAGCACAATTAAAGAGGGCCAGAAGATCCAGTAGATCCGGTGAATCGTTTTTGTTCGTGAAGCGTTGCAGTCCGGCACAGAGCAGGTGGGTATAATTAGATCGTGGGTGGGGAATAGGAAGATACATACAAAGGTTTACCAGCGCTATGTCTGGCTGAATTTTGCGAGGAGCTCGGTTCACGCTGTTATCCTTCTAATCTAATCTACTTAGTTGACCGGTGAGGATGGCCAAGAATGCTTTACTTGGGTAGACTGAGTTGATGTGCCGTAAGATAAACGTGAAGCAAGACAAAGAGAGTGATACAACAGGGACGCTGACTTCTTATTCTTCCGCGACAGTTTATTACCTGCATAGGTTTATGTCTTGTTTGCATTGCGTTTCCTTAAACAATCCACCAGTGGTTAGAGAGCGTAGTCACAAGAACGATGCGTCTTACCTGGGTATGGAATATGGAATTTGAAAGTCTGAAGACTATGCACTCCAACACATACACACACACACATCACACACATAGAGAGAGAGAGAGAGAGAGAGAGAGAGAGAGAGAGAGAGAGAGACGACGAAACGAACAAAACTAAAATAAAATAAAATAAAATAAAATAAATAAANAAATAAAGAAACGCAAAAAATAAAATAAAAATAAAAATAAAAATAAAATAAAATAAAAGAATAAGAAATAAAAATAAAATAAAATAAAATAAAAGAAGGGGGACATGAATAATGCCCTCAATGGAGGGCACTAAAATCAAAACACGAAGACAAGATGATATATCTCGGCATGCGAGCAGCGGGCCATCTGGCCCCAGGCAGTACGTCTACGTACTATATCGTATCTACCAGATAGTATGGGCAAAATAAACACACACCACCACCGCCCGGCCGGGATTCTGACTTATGAATAATCTATGCTGTCTCATGCCCAAAACCCTTAACAAACAACCCCCCACTATAGACAAACAGGTACCTACGTCAGTTACATCATAAACACAGCTGAGTACTACGCATTCCCGTTACTTCAACCCAAACCCTTCACTCTCCCAAACCGCCCTCCACAACACCTCCTCAAGCCTCTCCTTCGTCCCACATCTCCACAGCCCAAGGACATTAAAGCACGTCCGTGCTGTCGGGAATCGTCCACAATCATCCCCCAAACAGTGTAGCGCAATCCGTAGGCTTCCTGCCCCCGCAGCGGGGACACGATCGCTGCCTGTGACAAATGCTAACAATTTCCTCTGAGCGACGGGCGAGGCCGACTCGAAGGTCTCCCAGAACCAGCGGATGGTGGGCTCGTCTTCGGCGGGGTTGAAGGGGGGTCTTCCGCTGGGGCTTTTAGGACGATATCTCTCCCAGCCATCATACGTCGCGGCCGTTTTCAGCGCCGCGACATCCAGCGGGGGTAATGAATCCCCATTCAAAGAATTCCCTGAGCTACCGTTCGACCCCCGAATCAACAACTCCACCTCGTCAGGCTGAAACAGCGACAAGACATTCACGCCTGCCTCGCCGCCCCCAAATAGGCCGTGGGTTCCCCCCTCGTGGCCGACGATGGACCAAAACCCGCGCTTAAACGGCTCGAACTGCTTAGCGACAGACGTATCCAGTAGATAGCGCACATAAAGGTCGACAAATTCCCTGCGGTTAGCGCCCGTGACGGGCCGGCGGCTGCCTCCAGGGCACAGCTCCACCGTGTCGGCCACGCCATACCGGTCGACGGTGATGGCAAAGGACAGCGCAAATACGTCCTCGACTTCGTCCGGGTTGGGGTAGTCTAGCAGCTGACGTAGGCCGCGGGCGAGGGTCGGGCGATACTCGGCGAGGTCGTCTAGGGTCGAGCTGTGAGGATTGGAGGAAGGGGAAGCGAGCAGCTTGCGGAAGGCGAAGGGCGGGAGGGAGATGTCGAGGATGGTGGAGTTGTAGATGGCTAGGCCCAGGACGACGCCGACGAGGAAGTACTGCTGCGAGGGCTCGAGTGAGAAGGGGTTGAAGTAGCAGTAGTGCGAGTCCGGGTCGTAGAGGAACATGCCTATATGATGGGATCAGCAACACAAACGGGGAGAGATATATTAATGAAAGGATGAGAGGGCGTACCGTTCCCCGGATCAAACAACTCCCTGCACAACAACAAAAACCACTCTTTCCTTAACCCGCCTGCATCGACGCCCTCCTCACCCATAAACTCGATCCTCAACTCCTTTTTCACATCCAATATGCCGACCCCGCCCCCCGCGGCGGCACTAGCTCCAATCGCCTCGCCCACAGCGCTCAAGCTATCCTCGACCAAACACTCCCTCCTGACACGCAGCGTCAAAAACCGGTCAAACATCTCCCTGGGATGAGGATGGTGATGATAGTCCGAGAGCAAACTATTGAAGAAGGCATCCCGTGCCCGCGTCTCCATCTGCCGACGGGTGTCGTGCTCGAGGATGCGCATCTTGGCGCCGATGCTCAGCAGGTAGGGGTGCTGGCAGAAGGTGAAGCGGACGTTGGTATTGTTGGTGGCGCTGCCGTGGTTGAGGCTGATATTGTGGGAAGTATTTCCTCGACGTTGGGACCACGTCTCAAAGTCGGCGATGACGTCCGTTTCGTCCAGCAGGGTGATGTAGAAATCGCTCGTAGGCAGAACCTGAGCCCTTGGCTTACTGATGCCATGCTGCTGCGGTTGGGCATGGTGATGTTGCTGCAGGTAGCCTGTCAGATAGCCTGCCCTCCCATCCTTAGCCGTCAAACTCTCCCTCGAATGGCAAGCCTTATTAGCAGCAAACACCAACCCCAATACCGTCGCGGCTGCCTTGATCTGCCAATCCTCCCTAATCACCCTCTTCGGCTTCTCATCCTTCTTTTTCTTCCCCGAACCTCCTCCGCCAGTATTCCCATTAGCAGTCCCCGGCCGAGCCTGACTCAACAGTGCAGCATGCAACATCGCCCTGCTCGACACTCCTATATCCACACTCGGAACCAATCCGCCTAACGTGTCCTCGTCCCTCCTCATAGCTTCCTCCTCCTCTGCAGCAGCAGCCGTCTTCTCATTCTGCCGGTTCAACCTATACGCCAAGAACCCCGACATCAACTCCTTTGTTAAAACCAATACCTGCTCCGGACACCGCGCCCACCACGCAACCAAATGCTGATGACACTCAACTGGCGCATTGCACAGCAACCCCACAATCCGCTTAATAATCCCCGAATTCGCCCCAGCCGCAGGGCCAGCCCCAACCCCAGTCCCGGTCCCGGCTCCGGTTCCGGTCCCCAGTGATGAAGCCGGACCCAAGTTCCCGTCAGCAGTCACAAACCTCCCCCTCCAACTCCTCCACCCGGCAACAAACAAAGGACACACGGCCAAAATCAACAACCACCTCACTTCCCCGGGGCCTCTAATCCTCCGTCCCGGACGCTTCAGCACAGCCTCGCATGCCTTTAGCACCGCCCGCTGGACGTGCTCCTGAGAGGCTAATAGCTGCCCCTCAATGTCCTTTAGGGCAGCAGCTGGCACAGCGAGAGAGGGGTCTTCCTGGACCAGCGCGCGGTAGACGTCGAACCAGGGACGGGCGGGCTCGAGGATGGTGAGGTAGAATTGTTCGAGGCGGGACCAGTCGAGGTGGGGGGATTTGCGGGTGACGAGGGGGTCAGGGTGATGCTTGTGGTGTTGAGAGGACTCAGGTTGGGGTTGGTGCTGAGGGAGGGGGATGGTCAGGAAGGAGGTGTTGAGGGAGTGAAAGTTGGTTATGCAGGAGACGATGTAGTCCTCGAGCGGTTTGAATATCCGCTTGACTTTGACATCCTGAGTCGGCGGGCTGGGCGGCGGCCGGGAAGGCATTGGCGGCGGCGGCGGAGGGGGTTTCTGGACGAGTAGATCGCGGGAGGGCTGTCTCCTCGGGAACGGCACCGGTCCTGGAGAAGGTTCGGCCCGTGATGATCTGGCAGTGCCGGACCAGCTCGGACCACGGCAGTGCCTTGGACCCCTCATCTCTGGCGGCCGCAACAGTGACTGACCCGGCACAGGAGGGGGCACTCTCTGAGGAAGAGGGGGCAAGACAAGCTTGGGCAGCACCTCCTTATCCCCTTTCGGCGGCCGAGGTACCCCAGCAGGCTCCTGTCTCCTCCCCCTATCCTCTTCCCTCTCCTTCTGCTTCCCATTCCCATCCTTAGGTTGATCCCCAGGTGCCTTTCCAGCAGTCATCTCCCCCAACCTCTCCCTCAAAAACTCCCTCAAACACTGCTCAATCAGTGCCCTAGCATGCGTCAACGAGATAGGCCTATCCCGATCGCGATGTTGCTGCCCATCCCCCGACGGCCCCCTTTCCACAGGCACGAGATCATTCACCGTCATACAAATAGTACACCGAAAGACAGTGTGCTCGCGCGGCCAGCGCATCAGAGACGCACATGTCATGCAGCGTCCGGTGACAAACTCCTCTCCAGCAACATGCCTTTCGTTATGATGATTCCCCATTACCCCAGGTACTGAACCCCCTGCCCCAGACGAGCTCCCCTTCCTGACATGCCCAATCCCAGCCCCGAGACCAGCAGGGCTCTTCGACCTTCCTCTCTGCTGCCCCTGATTTGGTCCCAACCCGAGAAACCTATTCCCCCCTCTTCGTCCATCCAACCCCTCCACCGAACTCGATCCAACCATGCCCTGAATAGCCGCCATCGTAGCCGACCCCAAAAAGGGCTGACTCGCCGACCTGGAATGTCCCATCCCTCCCCCTCCCCCTCCCGAGACAGACCCAGATCTCCCGGACCGAATGACAAATGTAGCCCCCCTCAAGCGACTCCTACTCCTTTCCCTCCCCTCACTCCCCTTATCCTTATCTTTGGACTTCCTCCTCCTCGTAGTCGTAAGACTCAAAAACTCGTCATCATCCTCATCACTCGACTCATCCCCCACAGTCCCAAACCCCCTCGGCTGGAGCTGATCCTCCTTACTAGGAACTAAACAATCCAGATTTGCCCAGCCGTCAAAGTCCCCGCGGAACTGCCCGCTAATGGAGCGAGCGTGAGAGCGGAAGGGATGATGGTGCCGGTTCGGTTGGGGGTCGAGTTGTTGTTGGAGGGAAGGGGGCAGGGTGCTCAGGCCGGATGATGACGGTTGGCGGCAGTGGGAGGATGATGGGGGGATTATGGGGTTTGTTGAGGGGCTGGAATTGGAGGGCGTGCGGGTGTGGGAGGTGTAAGGGATGGAGAGGGAGCGGTCACGCGGAGTTGACATGGTGTGTATGTATGGTACGTATGTATGTATGTATATGTGTGTGTGTGTGTGTGTGTGTGTGTGTGAGTGAGTGAGATGCTTGAGGTTGATGTCGTGATTTGACTGAGCGTTGTTGGCGTTCAGGTAGAAAAAATAACTATCCTCTAGCTGATGGGAACAAGATCTGAAGAACCACCAGATCAAACGTTGCACTCAGTCCCCTGAACTTGGAAACGAAAGGTCGGGTGATGATGCATCAAAAATGCAGTGCTGCTCAACCGACAAGGTCGGCCGTCAAGACGGGAGTACCAGCAGACCAGATGAAAGTGACAGTGAGAATGACAGTAACAAGACCAAGTCACCGACAGACTTTGAATCGAAAGTCATCCAACACCAACGCCGACAAACGCCGCGCGCTGCAGTCGAGGTAAATGTACTCTCGAAGTAAAATCGTATCGGGACAGCCCAAAGCTGTTCTGAACCGCGGTGGTGAAGAATCCTCGCCGACCAATTCGTCAATCGACCTCAACAAGTCCAGTATTTGGTTTGTCGTGGCAGCCAGGGGCGACGGGGCAACCTATCTTGTTGTCTTGTCAGAATAAAATCCAATGATCAGCGAGCCCAGTGACCCTACAAAAAAAAGCACGGCCCAACCAATGTCGTCAGTCCGTTCTTCTCAGCCCAAACCTAGGCCTGGGCCCTTGGGACAGCGTCGGGCAAAATTGATCCGATTGATTTGATTGATTCGATCGGTCGATGAAACCGTCCACAAGCAGCAAGCAGCAAAAGTAGCGTATGTAGAAACGCAAAGCAGAGCAATCCGTCCGGAAAAGAAGCCGAGCCAGCCGTTGCTAGGTCGCTTGTTTTGGGTGTCTTCTCCAAGCCAGACCCCGAAGACGAACAAAACGGGGCGAACTGTGCGAGCTCTAAGCTGAAAGCTGAACGAGAGGCTGAGAGCGAAACGAGACGCAGTGCTGCGACATGGAGATTCTCTTTCACTTTTTTGCTGCAGCCCCAACCCAGCTTGCAGTCAGTGGTCGCCCCCCCTTTTCTTCCCAAACAATTTCGAGCAGTTGCTGCAGAAGGAGGCAGCCAAATGCAAGGGTCATTAAGTCGTGTTGTTGTTCAAGCAAAACGCGACCGTCTAGGTACGCTGCGTTAGTTGAGGGTACGTACCTGTACTGTAATATTTAAGCGCCGACCGCTGCGCTACCCAGCCGATGGAGCGTCCAATGTGAAATGATGGATTCGGCCGGTCGCGTTTATATCCGTATGTCCTTCACATTTGTCCAATTGATGGAGAACTCAAATTCATTTATCTCGTCTCCTAATTGAACTGTGAATGACGAACGACAGAGCAAACGGGATACCCAAGAATCGGATCCCTCAACTGAAACCCGACCCGCCGGGTTCCCAAGCCTCAGTGGATGGTGTGCCGCTCGTGTTTCGGTCTCCTCGCTTGCTTCGTGTGGGGTGCAGCATCAGCAGCAGCAGCAGCAGCGTAACAGCGTATTCAACGAAAACCGGCCAATGCCCTGGGCCTGAGTTGGGCTGGTGGACAGTGCGGGAGCAACCTACGGCGGAAGCAACAGTTTCCCGCTCGCGACGGCAGCGGGTGTTTCGGTGGACAAAGGGTGAGCACTGGACGGTGAACGGTGAAAGCTGAGCCGGGTCCGAGGCGCCAAGCCCAGGGGTTGCAGGGTGGGGTTTACACCGTGTGCTACTCATGACCAAAATAGAATTTAGCACTGTATGACAGCGACGGGACAGTATACGCCATATCAAGGCACTGTATTTAGAACTGTTGAAACCTCAGTTGTCATCTAACAACCTCAAAGTCATTCATGTCTTGTTCAAGTCCTGGGACCATCAAAGGTAGGTAAGTAAACACCACTTACATCCGTTATTCTTTCGTTGACCTTGATGCCATGTTATTCCCCCCGTCTTAGCCAGCACCAATCAGAGCAAAGCACTAAAGAAGGTAGTAGTAATAAACCCCCCATGACCAGAAGACTGGGCCAGACTTCTGTTCATGTTGTTTATTCGCCCTAAGGTCCAGAGTGAAACCAGTCCATCTTCTCTTTTCTTTTTTTTCTCTTGTCTTGCCCTGCATTACCTAGCAGTATGCATGCATTTTCAAAAAGAAACCAGAGAAAGAGACCGTCACACCCTTCCTCTTCTTCTTCTATTGTTTGGTATCACTACAAAAGTAGACAACTCAAGAAGAGCAGCCACATCAGCCAGCCACATACACACAAACCACACACGTAGAGTAAAAAAAAAAAAAAAAGTTACCTAACAGACAACAACAGCCAGGAAAATAGAAAAGGAGAGAGAGAGAAAACCATTACCCCCTCTATTTAACCCCTCCCAGGTAGATCTCGACTTCTTCGCATATCTTCCATAACCGAGAAGGAGGTCGTAATGGTAGAAGAATCGATAAGGGCGGAGCGAGGGCGAGGTAGAAGGCGCCTAGCGATCGAGGATGCTAAACCGGGCCTCCATGATCTCAAACGGGATCAGACCATTCATCCCAAAAGGCCTTAATATCACAGCCCATAAATCTCCCAGCCATCCCCCAATCCATCACCACCAGCAGGCCCCGATCTCCCATCACCAGTCGAGACAGGCATCTTGCTCTCGGGCCACTCGGCATCCTTCTGGGGGGCAAACTCACACCTCAGCTCGACACCCACGAGTCAGAGCTCCTCGTCCTCCAGCTCCGACGGCTTGAGCAGACCGCCGACCTTAGACCGGCGCTCGAGATCCGCCGCCCGCGCCTCGCGCTCCTGCTGTTCCTTCTCCACCTGGTACAGTTCGGCGTTGTCGCCCGCGAACTCGCGCAGCGAGATTAAGAAGTCACGCAGCACCACGCGGAACTTGTCGTACTGAGTATTGAGCTCGAAGCAGTCCTTGACGAACGTCGTGATTTGCAGCCTAGACACGTTAGCATTGGGAGAAACGCTCAGCTGGTTAGGGGTTGACATACGGAGTAAGGTTGGCAAAAGCATTCTGCAGCAGGGTGCCGACAAAGTTGGCGAGGAACTCACGGTTGCCGGTGCCTGGCTGCGCCTGGTCCGGCTGGTAGATGGGGCCCTGGATCTTGGGCGCCGACCCGTCAGCCGGGTGCACAAAGTAGAAGAGTCGCATGAGCAGCATCGACTGCGTCTTGAATCCCGCCTTGTGATCCGTGTCCGTAAGCACGAAGAACACATCCTGGAGGATCCGGATGAAGAACTGGTTGAAGAAGGCGTTGCACGTCTGAACATCCGTCTTCTCCGCGATGTTGTTGATGAGCTCCAGGCACATGTTAAGCCCTGCAGTCTCCACGTCGCGGTTGTCGTGCTTGCTGGCCCACATACACGAGTCGATGACGAACTTGAATTGCCGGTTATCGAGTTTGAGGAGGGCTGTCAGGTGTAAGAAGAAGCCACATAACTATAAATGTTGAGTAACGTACCTGGGAAGCAGTAAAGGTTAATGGCACGCAGGAGGTTGAAAAACTCAACACGGTGTTCGGGGTACTCGGCAAAGTCTTTGTTGATCATGTCTAGTGTGCACTCAAACACATTCTCCATGATCGCCGGTACTTGGTCCTCCATCAGGCCCTGCAGCCTGGTAATGATGACAGTCATAGCCTTCAGCACTTCGGCATCGCGGGCACCGGGGACGTTCCGGTTGTAGTCGACAAGTACAGAATCCAACAGGCCAGGAATCATCTGGCTCCGGACAGCCTGAAGATCTTCGGCCTTCTCGACGAAGGTCTCAACGAGCTTCAGGATCTCCTTCTTGATGGTGCGCAGACCGCGCACCTTAGGCATCTTGGTCGCAATCTCGCCTGCAAGGGTCAGTCAATCTCTTCACACAAAACGATGTGTTCCTTTTTTTTCTTTGTAACGCACCATCACGAGCGACCGCCTCCGAGATAAGCTGGCTGGTGGCCGCATACATCTGGAGCATATCGTTGTACAGCCGGCCGATCTGTGGGAAGAAGTACGGGCCGATGGACGAGCATGCCGACACATTAGTCTTCATGATGTTGCCGATAATCTTGATGGTATCAGGCTCATGCAAGATGCCGGGGTTCATGGTCGCAGCCTTGATGATCTCATCCCAAGCAGCGTTCGGGATGGCCATCAGCTCGGCAAGGAGCCTCTCCTGCTGGTTCCGGTTGCCCTGAGCAGAAACCATGTAACCACAGGCCTCGTAGAAGGTGTGCACCTGCTGCGGAGTCAAGTCGCAAGTGATCTTTCCGATGTTACGGATGATCTCTTCAATGAACGGCTCGTTCTCGCTGGGCTGCAGGGCAACAAAGTGGCGGCGGCATTGCTTGGCGATCTTGATGAACGTATCGCATGCCATGTCCTGGACACCTATGCTGGGTTAGCTAGATAACATGATGAGAGTAATAAAAGCTGACCTACCCTCGTGAGACTCGTGCATAAACTCAAAGAGCTTGTTCACGACAGTCTTGAGGAACTTCCAGTGGGCCTTCAGGAAGCGCGGGTACTGGCCCACAATGTACATGATGTTACTGGCGACGACGGCTTTGTTGTCCTTGCCGCGCTTCATCTCCGTGAGCCCGAGCAGATCCTTAATGACGGTAACAAGGAAGCGCTTCTCCGTCTCCTCGTTCATGGCCATAGAGATAGAGCCAATTGCCCAGCACAGGACGTTGCAGTTGTGCCACGACCACTCGCTGCCATCCACCTGCCGCGCCAACTTCTCGGTCATGATCTGCTCCATATCGACAACGTCCAAATGCGTGAGGTAGACCAGGCACTCGCGAATCGTCTTGTACAGCTGGACGGAGTCGGTATCCTTGACGAACTCGCGAACGATCTCACCCTCGTCGTTTTCCACGATCAAGACTTCCTCGGGACGGACCATCTTCTCGATCATGACGACACGCAGATTCGACAGGACCTCCTTGTACTTATGCTTGCGCAGCGGGTAGTGCTCGAGCAGAGCCGGGTTCGGGGCGCCGCCGCCGCTCATCATGCCCAGGCCCATCGAGGACATGTCGTTCAGGGGCAATGACTGCATCTCCTCGTAGAGCTCCTGGACGAGCTTGAGCCAGTAATCAAGGCAAATCTTGAAGATCTCACGGTCGTCGATCTGGGAAATGCGGATCAGGTAGAAGTGGCCGTGGGTGAGGAAGTCGCGGTTCGGGAGGTTCTCAATGAGCTGCAGCGCGTTAGTAAGTGAGCCAAATCAAGCATACAATCAAGGTACTAACCGGCAGATGCATGGTGAAGAAGCTGGTAAGGAAGAGGGCCAGGTTCTGGATAAATTCCTGATCGCGCGAGTTGCTGTTCGGGTATGTGGCCTTCAGATCCATCTGCAGGGGAATGATGTTCGAGATGGTAGTCAAGACCTCGGTAAACATCTTGATCAGCTGCTCGTCGTAGGTATGGGGCTGACCTGGGCCACCAGTCTGCAAACCACCAATTTCTGTCAGGCACTGTAGTGTGACGTTGCGGAACTCTGGCACCTCGAGGAAGCGCGTCCGGAGGGTGTCAATCAGGGGCGTCTCAAAAATGTAGCCGAGCGGGATCCAGTTGCAAAAGCGCAGGAGTGTCTCCAGGGTGGCCTTGATCAAGCTTGGCTGGGTCGCGCTGTTAAGGATCTCCTGGCAGAGCTGGAAGATCATTGAGAACTCAGCGCACATAGTCGACTTGAGGTTGCGCGTCTTTGTGGACGTCATCTGGTCGGCCGAGTAGTCGAAGACCTCTTCAGAGAGGAGTCGGAGGATAATCATGTTGTTCTCGCAGACCGACAGGCTCGAGTGGCACGCCGAGACGATCTCGTTGATGAAGGTAGGCCAGTTGTGCGGCCACTCCTGCTTCAGGACCGAGACAAGCACAAGGTTGAGCTTGTTCAGCAAGGTGCGGTGAGTCCGGAGAGACTCTTCGGAGCTAGAGCACTGCAGGATATACTGCACGACGAAGTTGCGGATACCTGGGCTGGTCAGTTGTGTACGCGAATATCTTCAAGGAAATCTACTTGCCTTGACACTGCTCTCTCGGCAAGACTTTCCACCTTGTCATGATGACATTATCAAGAACCTGCAAGGCCAGGACTGTTCCCTGTCAGTCTTCACGATCCTCGCCAATGTATGTCGACAAAATACGGGGGAAGAGAGTCCCGAGCAACAGGAAAAGAGAGAAGACAAACATTTGGTCTGCTCATATGTCGCCCTCGAGAGGATCTCGTCCACCATAAGCCAAGCATCGGGGTCCTCCTTGAACTGTAGCGAAGCGTTAGTGAAAAGTTGTCCGGTGAAACGAGCATAGTCGGAAGAAAACATGCCTGATTCAAGGCAGCCTGGGCAGCTTTTTGCTATATATCAAAGAAAACATGGGCGTCAGCAATCGCAGTTGTGCAAACACGGGGAGGGGTAAGAGGTCGGCAGGTACCTGTTCGCCGCGGCCTTCATAGAAGGCCCGGACGGTTGCGTCCAACTCCTCTACGGAGACAGGCATGGTCGATGGCACGCCGGGAAGGGGGTTATTGTCGGTTGAGTTGGAGATTGACGGGCTTAGGTCGAGAAAGACCGGGAGGGGAGGGGGATGATTGGAGGATATAAGAGCTCAGGGACTTGGACTGCCAATTCAGGTAGGCAGGCAAGGCAGAAAGGCTGGCTGAGTGTTGAGTGGAATGTAGAACCTGAAACTTGGGACCTGAAGGCGTCGGGCAGGCCAGGTAGTGGTCGTGGTTTGGTAGTAAATAGAGTTTTATCGGGGGATGCGGGGCAAAGCAGAAACGCAGGGCGATCGGGTCGATCAGGTCGCGTCCTGTTTGCACGTCCTTTGTCTTTAGTTTGGCGAAAGGCTCTGCACTCTGCCTCGGTGCCTCAGACGCTCTGTACCTTGGGGCGCGGCGGGGTTGGGCAGCGGAATGGAGGATGTGTAGGTTGAGGTTGGTGAGGTTAAGGTTGAGGGTTGAGGTTGCGGGTGAGGTGGGTGACGGGGTGAAATTTTGGAATCTGGCAGAGCGGTCAAAGTTTGGCTGATGGGGCAGCGCGGTGGTCAAGCACTGAGCACTGTGAGAGTGGGATGACGGAAGCCGCTGGAGCACCTGGCATGGAACATGGAAAAGAGATTGAAACCTCCAAGCACCTGGCAAGCATCCATCCATCGGGTCGAAGCTCCAAAAGGCCGAACCCCACCAGCCTCTTCGATTGTTGCTGCAACCCCGCCTTCGAGCATTCAATCGCTGACCCAGCGACCGGCTTTGAGACCCACAAGGCCAGCCAAGAGGAGCCTGCCAGAGCTTCTCGACCCCACCCGCCCACCTGCCCGCGGCCGTTCGCTGCACGATTTCTGCCCAGCCGGCTGCCGCGCTGCCCGGCCCTGCCCTGCCTTGGTCTTCGGCGCGGTGCTACAATCATCCGTACGTGGTGTCTGACCATTGGCACGGATTTTGCTCCAGGTCGTTCACTATTGCGCCATCACTTATCAGAGTCTATCATGAAACGGAGCTGGAATGAAATGCTTGGGCTCTTTGTGAGAAGTTGCTGAGCCTGACTTGGTGGTGGTCCGAACTTGGGTGCCATTAGTTTTTGTGGCTTCAATGGTTCCGAAACAGCAAAGCTTCCATGTCTCCGCCTGGCCTGGATGGAGAGCCTGGCTAGCGGCAAAACTTTGTTTACACTACTAGTATTGATCTATGCGTTGTCTTGACAACGGGTCGCACTATTGGGTTGATTTGCTCTGTATAATTTTTCTCTGTCCCTTGGCAGTCGGAAAGGCAATCAAGGAAAAATAGCTAGTTCAACTAAAGGGAATTAAAAGAAATCGTACCTAAGACAGCAAAAATTGGCCTTGAATCATGTACAAAAGCGAAAATGCAAGCCATCAATTGAGCCTCACCCGATTTGAACGGATAACCTTTCGATCTGGAGTCGAACGCGCTACCGTTGCGCCAGAAGCCCCGATTGATGCAAGAGCGACGGGTTTTACACCTCAAGAGTAGGGGCAGGACTCGCTAGTTGCATGGCAGTTGACAGCTCTCAATTTATCCAAGCTCCCAGACTTGATGCAGGATGGAATTTTTAAGGTTGTTAAGCAGCAGAGTGTATATAGAAAAGAGAAATTAACCAAGAACGACTCGCGTCTCTTGTTGGATGCGTTGGCTCAGGGCTTCACTGCTCTGCTACCCGGGCCAAAACTGAGGCCCTCAAGTTGCTCAAGCGAGCCATGGAAACGAACTCTCTCTGAAGCATCTCACATCTGTTAGATTGAATTATGGGACTGCCTAACAGGAAAAACCGAAACACGTGTTAAAGCATCCATCACATTACCCTAACCAAAGTATGCCTCTAAGCTTTTACCTTGCCCGGGTATGAACTCCTTCCCCGCCCTGATTGACCTATCTAACCCCTGATTCCCTCCCCTAAATATACACAGCAAGAAACTAGCAAGCTCCCTTCAAATACACATTTTAAAAAAGCCCGCTCAAGGCTTCTTATACCCAACCTCCTCCAACGCCTCCTCGAGCGCCTTCAGCGCCTTATCAACATCCCCGCGCTCCGCATCCAGCGCGCTAACACCCATGTGCCCGAACCGGATATACTTGCTGGCGATCTCCTTGTGGATGCCGCCGGCGAAGACAACGCCCTTCTTAGCGAGGATGGGCAGAATCTGCGCGGGCTGGATGCCTTCAGGCATGTAGATAGCGGTCATGCCGTGGGCCTGCTCGGCAGGGTTGGGCGCGACCTGCTTGAGGCCGAGCTCGGCGATGCGAGACTTGATGCGGTCTGACGTCGCCTTGTGGCCGGCGAAGCGCTCCTCCAGCGGCCGGGCCAGGATCTGGCTCAGGGCGGTGTGCAGGGCACGGATGAGTTGGGGCGAGGGCGTCGCGAAGTAGGAGGGCTTCTTGGCCTCGTAGTTTTGCATGACTGCGGACACGTTTATTAGTAGGCTGGATACCTAAGGCGGGGATAAGACGGCGGAGACTTACTCGGAGTCCAGTTCTTCATGGAAGCGAAGTAAGCAGCGACAGGAGCCTTGCGGTTCTGGAAGGCCTTCATAGCACGACCACTGAAGATGGAGATGGACAAGCCGGCAGGGCACCCAATGGCCTTCTGGCTGGCAGTGACGACGGCATCAAGATCCCATTCATCAAAGCGGATCTCCTCACAGCCCACGCTGCATACACCATCCACAACGACCAGCGTCTCAGGTGAGACCCTGCGCACAAGAGCAGCCACCTCCTTAATATCGCTCAGCACACCCGTCGAGGTGTCAACATGGGTGATGGTAATAGCCTTGTAGCGCTTCTCGCCCAGGGCCTTCTCGATCTCAGGCAGGGTCGGCCTGGTACCGACGGGGGCCTTGAGCTCGGTGACATTGGCGCCGTAGACACGCAGGCAGTCAGCGAAGCCGTCGCTGAAGTAGCCGGTGCCTAGCACCAGCACGTCCTCACCAGGCTCAATCAGGTTGGCGGCGACCAGGTCCCAGCCCAGCGTGCCCGAGCCGGAGAGGATGAAGGGCTGGGCGGCGGGGTCCGAAGTCTGGAAGAGCTTGCGCAGCATCGTCAGCGCCTCGCCGAATACGGCCACGAAGCCCGGGCCGACGTGGCTCTCGCTGGAGGGGAGGGGGATCAGCATTCATGGCTCGATTGAGCAAAAAAAAATAAATAAATAAAATTGAACAGAATTTCTAAGACATACCTGTAGTGGCTCATGCTTTGCAGGACGGCATCGTCAAACTCGATGGGCCCAGGAATGAGCAGGGTGGCGTGCGGGGGCTGCGACGAGGGCATTTTGGGCGATTCGAGATTGCTGGAAGAGGTTGAAGTCGACAGAGTGCGTGATTGCCTCTTGGGGAGCAGCGTCGTGTCAATGATGTCGGGAAGACGCTCAACAGTCCAAGGAGTATTGATCGGATAGACGGGGGCAAGGTGACGGGATATGAGAGAGAGGCGCAGACCTGGTGCTGGAGAGGAAGCGGGGGAGGGGCTGGGGACGTCGTAGCGGTAGTCACTGTGGTACCGCCGGTACTGGAGGTACCCGTAGCGGTCGTGCGGGTGTGGATGCGGGTTTCCAGCTCCAGTTATCGGGAATCTCTCGTTCGCCGGATCCTGCTGGCGGGGCATGGGGGACAGCGACCCCATCAGTCGTCTGAACACCGACAGTGAGCGCCGACCGCACGCGAGCCTGGAGACCTCGGGTAGCATGAGCGACTCCCCACGAAAGATCCTTCAGGAGAAAGGTAAGGGTATAAGGGGGGGGGTTAGAGGGGGGAGGGAACGCGGCGCGCGGGACGAAATGTAAATTGCAGACGCGGGCGTTCCAAATTCGCGTATGGTTGGCGAGTACAGTTTATTTGTGTCACCCTGGCTGAGTCCCTCGGCGCGCGCAATTCCAGCGGTTCGATGCTCGAATAGTGTCCAGGTTTTCCTCTGAAAGTCTCTGACGGCCGGGCTCCCAACACTAACAGTCTGGATCCTGCAATGGATTCCACGATTCCACAGTGAGACAGCGATTACACAAGTATCAGAGCGTATCAAGTTGCATCAAAGACAGGTTAACGCGGTCACCAAAATAGATTTAAGGGGAACCCGATGATAGGATGCGCCAGACTCGGTATTAGTACGTAGCTGGTGCCAGCAGACAGCGGGGCTTGCGAAGGACTAGGGAATGTCCACCGAAAGCCCCTGGCCAGGTTTGGTCTCTGGGGTAAGGAATTCAGTCCAATCACCGCACTGCTCTCACGCTGTCGGCGAGCTGTGGAAATTTCCATGTCTGTTAAATACTTGTTTTCTTGGAGAGTCGGCGCGCGTTTGCGATGACGTTGCCAAGCTGATATGGCTGTCCATAGCCCTTGTCTGTCCCAGCCGAATCTCATCACATGTGTCCTTCTATTTTGTCGCAGCCGACGCCCTGCTCGGTCCGCGCGGCCGACTTGCTTGCTCCGTGACATCCCGGCTCTGCCGAGCGCGGCAGCGAGATGCCGAAATTATCCCGCCTAACAAACTCTACAACGCGAAGGTTCTTCATTCATTGATCATGGCCTTGTTCCTTCTTTTCTTTTCTTTTTTTATCTAAAAATCAATTGTAGTTAGGCTGTGAGTGCAGCAGTTCAGCCGATTTGACTCCTGTTATGAGCCCAGCCTTCGCACTTCCTTGGTCCTGCTTCTCATGAGTCATGAGAAGCAGGAGCAAATCACCAAAAATCAAAAACATACAACACGGGGAATTCCCCAGTCGTCTCCGGCCTGAGTACTAACCCCGCCCTTGCTGGTTTATCTAAGGGAGAGCAGACGGGATCCCGAGTTGTCCAGCAGGTATGGTCGTATGTGCCAGGTGAGGGCATTCGTAGCGTCTACATGGCCGCTGATGAGAGCAGTATAGCACAGAAGCAAATGAGATGTGAAAACGGATCGTGAGAGGTAATGAATGTTTTCATCCGTATGTTTCTGTAGTTGAATAGTTAGCCTACTTGAATGCATTCATTAGTCTGCTGATCGCAATGCAATTGCAACAGATAGCTTGAAACGAATGACGAATACTTCATCAGTGTTCATATTGCGAGAAGATGAGGCGAATCCCAGTTGGGGTTGTTTAAATCACAACTTACCCTCTAAAAACCCTAACCCTTAACTACATCACCCCTGGCTCCCCCGCAAGCTCCAAGCCCCTGTCAGCGGCAGCGGCGCAGCCACAGCTCCAAGCATGCCGCTGATTGACCAACCTCATCGCATCTCAACATCAACACCCCGCCATACGTTATATAAAACGCTGCTTGCAGACGCCTGCCTCCGACACCCCGCAGTTCGATTTCCATAGCAAATTCCCGACTTTACCAACCTCCAGCGAGCACCCGCCGACCCTTGTTCGGCCGTCCGAGCCATCCTCCCATCCTCATTGTCACCTCCAACTTCTCTCAGGAACCCTCTTGGCCTGACCACCCCAAGAGCTACCCAGCTCTCCCACCTTCGCAATGGCCTTCCTAATCCTAGTGATCGGCAATCTGCACATACCCGACCGTGCGCTCGACATTCCCCCTAAGGTATGCCCGCCCTGCCCCTGCCAACTACCCTCAACCCTCTCTCTCACCTTCTCCTATCTCCCCCCCCCCCCGATGGGACCCCTTCTCAAGGATTGCGTACCTGACTGGCATCTTTAATCCCCAGTTCAAAAAACTCCTCTCCCCCGGCAAAATCTCCCAAACCCTCTGCCTCGGCAACCTGACCGACCGCGCAACCTACGACTACCTGCGGAGTATCTCGCCCGACCTGAAGATCGTCCGCGGCCGCATGGACGTGGAAGCGACCTCTCTGCCTCTTATGCAAGTGGTCACGCACGGGTCGTTGCGTATCGGGTTTCTGGAGGGCTTCACGCTGGTGAGCGAGGAACCCGATGTGCTCTTGGCCGAGGCAAATAAGCTGGACGTGGACGTGCTGTGCTGGGCAGGGGGCAGCCATCGGTTTGAGTGCTTCGAGTATATGGATAAGTTTTTTGTGAATCCGGGGAGTGCGACAGGAGCGTTTACGACAGATTGGCTGGCCGAGGGGGAGGAAGTAGTGCCGAGTTTTTGTTTGATGGACGTATGTTGCCCTTACTGTGTGGATGGTTTAACCTGAAAGGGAGTGTGCTGACAGTACTTGACGCAGGTCCAAGGAATTTCCCTGACGTTATACGTATACCAGCTCAGGAAAGACGAGAACGGGACGGAGAATGTGGCAGTCGAGAAGGTGACGTACACCAAGCCGGTTGAGCCGACAGGAGCATCATGAGGGGTGCGTGGCTGGAGAGGGGGTATAGCGTTACGTTTCGAGGAAACTCTGTTTTCCCATACAAAATCTTTGGCCGATGGACGATGGAGTGGCCGGAACTCACGAGAAGCTGCTGATATGGATGGACATGACTTAATGAATAATAGGGATACAGGCAGCCCCCTCGCGAGCAAGACATGGCTGCGGGGCACAGCGTCGCTTTTCGATTATGAAGGATTATCTAGCGCGACGATCGGCATGGCGAGGCTACAGAGCTGACTACCTACTCATCAGAGGGGGGAGGAGGGGGGGTGGGGAGGAAGAGATTATTTAGAGGTTTTGTCTGGTCAATATAACCCAAAAGACGTCAGGGTGTGCAGGGAACACACTGACTGGCGGTGCTTTCAGCAGAATTGCTTCGTTGACGAGCCTTCTAGAGGTACCCCATGAAAACCAGGGATTGATACGGATGGTTTCATCATCTACAGTAGCAGGGCAACGGTAGGAGATACGGTTTATACCCAGTTACTAGCGACATTAACATCCTCAAGAACGCGTTTTGGCTCACGTTTCCTTTCTTTCTTTCTTTTTTTTTTTCCTATTTTCAGTCTACTACGCTTGCGGACAAACCGAGCTCCAGTCATCAGTACAGTAATGTCATCCCAAAGAAATAAAACAAAACCCCAAGAGTCAACGCCATCCCCCATGCCAATGCTTACAACCCCAGTCATGACCCTCCAAAACGTCCGTAAAGCTTGAGGTAACACCAGAGAACAAAACAATCCCAAAAGTCCAAACACACTCAAAGCATCATACTCCTCCTCCTCATTCCCACCCTCCCCGCGACACTCCCCGTACTCTCCACACTCCCAGCCGACCCAAGCGAACTAGCGCTAGTATCCGCTTCATCAGGCCCCTCTTCCCCCTTATCATCTTCTTCCACCAACCCAAAGAAACTCCCCGACGTCTTCTTAGGCACCAGCATGCTCTGCCTCTTTCTCGCCACTGCCTTCTTTGCCGCTGTCTGCTTTTGCTCGGTGCTATCGTCGTCGTCATCTTGAAGGATCTCGCGTAACGCCGCGGCGGCGGCCATGGAAGATTTGCGGGCTGCGCGAGAGCGGGCTGGGGCTGGGGCTTGAATGGGGGCTGCTGGTTCGGGGGCTGGAGAGGAGGCGGTGAAGTCGTAGGGGTCATGAGAGGGAACGTCGTTGGCTGGGGAGTTGTCGGGGTGAAGCTTATCGGGGACAGCGGCCTTAGTCCGATTGGTGGCAGTCGCAGATGCGTTTGCTGATGATGAAAGGGAGGAATCGGCTTCCGGCTTTTCGGCAGCGACTGCGAGAGATTCGCGCGCTGAAGACCTCTTCTTTCGTTCGGTTGTAACAGTGCTTGGCAACACGCCCTCCTCGACAACGATACTCCTCTTCTGATCCTGCCCCCTCCTCCTCCTCCTCCTCCTCCTCCTCCTTTCCTCCTCCTCCTCCTCCTCCCCCTTCTCCTCCTGGTCCTTCTTCCCCTTCTCCTTCTTCGCTAACGGACTCAAACTCGTCTGCCTGCGACTCCCCGAACTAGTCTTGACGCTCTTCTCATGGCTCGCACCCGCCTTGCTGCTCGTCGCGCTGCCTGGGTCACTGGACTTAGCTTTCGTCAAGGAAGTAGGCATGATCTCGTCCAGCTTGCCCGTGAGGATCGCGCGGTGTACAAACTTGCCCTCGCCAGAGACAGCATCGAACAGCTCCTTGGTCGGACGGCGCATTTTGTCGCGCAGGTTGGGCTCGGCATAGCTGATAGGGATGCGAGCGCGACGTGTCGGGCGGGAGGTCTCGCCTGTGGAGGAGATGTCAGCTGGGGGAGGGGTGTCGTTCGAGGTGTTAACAGTCTTATTCCTCCTCGACGAATCAACACGGTTATTATTGGGTGTCGACGGCGAACTCGGGGCCGTATCAGTATCGACAGTAACTGTGGCGACGGCCGGAGGCTCAGACACAGCTGGCGGGATATCAACCTCGGCAGACGCATCATCAGCCTTAACCGCGAAGCCTGCTCGAGCCCGCTTGACCGGCTCCTTCTTGCTGTCGGCCAAGGCCTTGGCGGCAGCTTTTCGGGGCGTGGTCAAGTCGTCATTGGTGCTCTTCACAGCCAGTGGCATCCTCACGGTCCCATTATTGTCCCTGATGCTCCTACGCTTGTTGGCACGTGTCGACGCCTTGTCCTTGTCCTTCTCCACGAGGACCGATTTCTCCTTTCCGGTGCTGGTCGCGACGTAGATGAGGTTCTCGTTCTCATCGGCAAAACTTCCTCTTCGTGCCGGCTCTAACGGTGGGCAGGGTTGGGGTTTGCGCTGATGATTGCTTGGTTGGGCTCATGGTATCCTTCTGCGGGGTCGCGGCTATGAGCTCGGTCTCGGCAACATCCTCCATAGGTTCAGGACTTCCCATAGGCTTTCTGTCATAGTCGAGTTTAGGTGGTGATGGGGGGACTGTGTCTCTTTAGGACTCTCGTGAGCAGGCGACATGACCATCGGGCTCGAGGGAACATTATCGTCCTCGGCTGCATCATCCTCCTCGGCAAAGCGGGACACAGGCGGTGGGCCGATATCAGGCGACCCTTCGACATCTTCTGCTGCAGCGCACAATGCGAGAATTTCCTCGCTACTATCAAGAGGTCAGCATGTCCCAGAGCGTAGTAGAGAACCCTAAATCACGTACTTCATAGTAGCCCGTGGGTAGGGCTTATTCTCAAAGATCGGAGGGAATCGTCCCTCCGCCTCAGCCAAGGCCTCCTCCTCCTCCGAAGTGCGCCGCCTGCGCTGCGGCGGACTCCTCAGCAAACTCCTCTGGGGCTGCCGTTCAAGGGCTCGTCTCTTGGGCGCCGGCTCGACACCAAGGCTGCTGATCAGGGAAGAGAACTCGGCCAGCTGGGCCTCGAGCTTCGCCTTGACCTCGAGGGCGTGGTCGGCTATCCTTTGTGCGGTATTTTCCTCGAGCTTCTTTTCTAGGCGGACAATCTGGGCGCGTAGCTCGAGGTTTTCGGACAGCAAACGGGCGCAGTCATTTTCCAGGCGGCGGATCTTCTGTGACTGATCGGAATTGATCCTGGCAATGTCGCGGTTTTGACGCAAGAACTTCCTCCGGACTGTGAAAGGTCAGAATCTGTCGATAGACGCGATACGGCAATGGACATACGGATTTCAAGGCTGTTATCTGTGGACGCGGACTGCTCGTTGAGACGCGCCATTTCGCATGATCGCAGACGGGGTCGACGGCTACAAATCGGGTATCGAGGTTATGGAATCGATGCTGAGACGCGTCGATGCGTCTCCGTAATTGCCGGCGGCGAGGCCGAGGGGCAATGTGGTGTGGTTTGGGTCGACGAGTGCGTGTTGATGAGGAGCAAAATGAGAAGGGCGGAGACGCGAGTTCCCAAGGTGCGTCGCTGTCACCTCTGCATTGTTTACTTGACTGCCGAAAACGGATTAGCGCAGGTGCCAGCTGGTGGAGGAACGTTCGTGCAGCCGCCAAGCGGTGGGGCCGAGGGGTTCTCGCTCACAGGCCCCAAGAGTCCACTCATGATAGGCCTGAAGATCAGGACAGTTTCACTCATCAGCATCTCGCAACGCTAAATTCACTTCAAAATCAGACACCATGTCCGGCTTTTCCTCTAGACCTCTGTCAACACACCTCAGACAACCGTCTCTCGCGCCTCCTCAAGGCCAGTCGCCGGCTCTGCTGGCGCGGGTTAACGAGAAGAAGGCTGAGCTCGAGAACCTGAAGGAGCTTCGCGATCTCAGCGCAGCTGTTGCTGCCCAGATGGAGGCACTTGAGCAGAAGCTCTCTACTCTCTCTAGCGGGACTGAGGGTGTGTATATATCCCCTCCTAGCTCAAAGTGCTAGAGACCTCGTGCTAACCATCTCAGCCATTGCCACGGTGTTGGCTAATTGGCATAATGTGCTACGCGCCATCAGCATGGCATCGGGTATGCCTTCCCCTATGCTCGTGCGAGAAAGTGATGCTAATCGCGGCAATAGCCAAGATTCCCGAACCAAAGGAGGAAACTGAGGAGAACACGGTTCCTCTTCCCCAGACTCTGGTCCGGATTCCCACCGAGCACGCTCCTGCTCTCCAGGCCCACGCGGAGGGGGCGACGGAGGAAGAGTCGGGGCGAGGATGATGATCGTGATCGATCCGACTTACCTAGTAGAGGCTCCGTCATGCCTTATGGGCGCCAAGACCTACCTAGCAACAGTGCAGGGCAGAGACACTGAGCACGCTGTTACCCTCTTATGAGTCATCCAGTATGCATACGGGTAACTTTGGTGAGAACGTGTCAGCGGGTGAGCGCTATTGTGCCACACCGTCCGATCTCATCAGCCACATCGTGGAGTGCGGACCAAACCGATGGGACGCTTGCCAGGTTTGCCAGCCCATGTTTGTTCCGGACGACACTCCCTACGGAAGTTGGACAGGCCAATCGGCAATTCAGATCGAGAAACAGGCGCTCGGGGAAGGGCGTCGTGGGCGTTGCACATAAAACTCATAAATGGAAGAGTGGGGCTGGGTATGGTAAGGACGCGGCTTCAGGTTGGCCAACCTGAAGGAGCGGAGCCGGAAGAGTGCAGCAGGAGGGTAAGACGGCGACAGGATTCGCAGGGAATCGCAGGAGTTCGCGGAAGCTGCGGTGGTAGCCGTACGAGGCTGTGACTTTCCTGTGAGGGGAAAAGTAAACAAAAGCGTGGAATAAAGCCAGCTGGGAGAGTCTGCCAGCTCTCGTACAACAGCAGATTTGTTTCCCACACTCTTCTATCCCATGTCTGCTAAGTGCTAACTGACATTCTTTGGGCCTGGTGCTGCCATCGAAAAGCATTCTTTGACAAATTCGGCATCTCAGCATCCGTAACAGACAGCCTTCCCCTGGCGCTGAAGCGCCACCTTATCCCGTTATCGCGGCGATCAAACACTACGCATCCTAGCACGTGCATTGATCTCCCGATTAAGCCCTGCTTAAGCACTGCGACGCGCAAATTACACAGTACGTCGCGTTGGCCCCGCGGTGTCCCCGCGATGAGCCCCCTGGCCGGTTGCTTCTTGGGATCGTCTTGGCCTAGCTAACAGCTCTCGGCGTTTCAAGCCAGCATATTAAGGGACCATGGCAACCACCACAAAGCCCCGAGCGGGCAGCACTATCAAAAAGAAGTCTGCTGCAACTGCAACCGCAACTGCATTGAATGAACTGCCTTTGAGCAACATACAGAATAAGCAGCAGCAGCAGCAGCAGCAGCAGCAGCAGCGCCAGGTCAGCATCGACTCTCTGACCCGCGATCTCGACAACTTCCACATCCGCTGTGTCAGTGCCGGCGATAAAGAAAACCTTAGCAAGCCCCTCTCGGCATCACCCGGACACACGGCGAACCCCGCGGTTGCATCTACAGCTCCCCAGGTCATACCATCCGTTCGCACGTGCGGCCTTACTCGTGAAGCCGACGAGTCGGATACCTCAGGTAAGAATGAGCGACTTTTTCTTTTCTTTCCGTCGCATTCCAGGGTAAGATTGAATACTGAACAGCAAACACAGACGACTTCGAGACCAACAACACACTTGCACGCGCCAGCCAGCACTTGCCCAGCAACCAAGAGCAACTCGCGAAGCACCAGGCAGGTCAGTTTGAATGGTTGCTCTCCATTCCCGTCGACAACGAGAAGTTGGCCAATGTGCGCGGTCTGGTCGACGACTCCCACGATGACGACGACGCAGACCCGCGCCGATTGGGCGAACAGAAGAGGATCATTTTCGGCTGCAATCTGCTGCGTCGCGGATCAGAGTCGAGCGGCGCTCAGCCTGCGCAGTGCCAGACTGACGGAGGAGCTAACGTGTACACGTTGATAGCCACTCGTCTTGACGGAGAGGAAGACGACACGACTACCATGCCCGAGCTTACACCCGTGGAGGAGCCCGTGGTCGAGGCTCTGCAGTCTGAAGTGAATGGGGATGTGGAAGTGAATGTCAAGGAGGCTAAGAGCCACGAGCAAATCTTTGACTCTCACCCGTCGACTCCAGTGTCCAAGATCGAAGCTGCGATCGACGCCGTCGATAGGCTCGAGGAACAGATCGAGCAGCTGACGCTGGAAACCCAACCCAAGTCGGCGACAGCGAAGACCAACGGAATGACCACCAAGTCGACCCCGATCAAGCGCGCCACCTCAGTCAAGGTTGCCTCGACCAGCAAGAGTGCCATCGACCGCAAGTCTGCCATGACCCCGACGCGCGAACAGCTGCAGGATAATGGCAAGCCTTCCACACCTACACCGGGTACTACTGCTCGCAAGGTGCCGCGGCCGGCCAGCCTCAACCCGCCCAAGCCCCTGGCCAAGTCTAGCAAACCGCCGACGATACCATCGTTCGAGCTGCCCGGCGAGGCAGTCGCTCGCCGGCTGAAGGAGCAGCGCGAGGCGCGGCTGTCACAGCAAATCTCTCCCGAACAGGCTGCGTCCGTCGCGGCCGACGCCGCGAAAACCGCATCGCCCTCGTCCTCCTCCTCGTCGCTGCTCTCGCGCGAGCCCAAGTTTAAGTCGAGCAAGCCGCCGACACGGCCGACGTTCGAGCTGCCGGGCGAGGCCATATCACGGAGGAAGCGCGAGCAACACGAAGCGAAGCTGAGAGCGGAGGAGGAAGAGATGCGTCGGCGGCGGGAGTTCAAGGCACGGCCCATGCCCCGCGCTAGTATCATTGGCACGCCGAGCACATTGCCGCGGGATACGGTCGCTAGCCTGGCGAGGATTAATAAGCAGCGGCAGGCCCAGGCCCAGGCTGAGCCCAACAAGGAGGAGGAGAGCGGGATGACAGGAATGAAGAAGAGGCATTCGATCGCGGTTTTGGGGGCTTCATCATCATCTCAGACGGTGACGAGGGGACGGACGAATACTAATGCCTCGCAGCTCTCGCAGGCCGGGGCGACTACCGCTACGACCACCAACAGCAGTCGTGCGACGTCGGCTTCTGGGAGTGTCAGGGATCGTCGTGCTAGCACCGCGGCGAGTACTGTCAGCAATGGGAGCGTAGAGAACGGTCTGCTACAGCACCCGAGGGACAGCAAAGAGGCGGTGGCGGCTGCGAGGAAGGAGGCTGCTGAACGCAGCAGGATGATGAGTCGGCTTTGGGCGGAGAAGAGGAAGGCTAAGGAAGGGGCGGTTAATGGTCAAGCTAATGGCGTGAAGGTTTGATGGCCTTGGTCCATGGTATGGCTTGGTCGGGTGGGTTGGGGGGGGGGGGGAGGGGAGGTTGTTAAGTTGTGGTTTGATCAGAGAGAGTGTGTACGATCGTATGGGATAGTTGTATGTGCTGCTGGTGAATGGTCTATACCCGAGGTAGCTGAGTTGGGATAAGGACAGTAAGGGGAGTCGGGTTTGCATTGATGAGGGTATGGCTTGGCATGTTACCCTGGTAGGGATACTGTTCTTGTGTTATGGGAATGTGTTGGGTTTGATTGTTTGGGAGTTTGTGTCCGTTTTATGCTGTTATTGTTACCTACCTTGCTTTAGTCTATGATTAGGATTGATTCTTAACTTCTGCTTTACTTGAACTGAGTACGGCTATGGCTGGGAAGTCTTAGTCGGAATTGAATTGTTTTTATTACTTGACTGAAGTAATTACCCTGAGATGACTGCTGCCCTACTTTACATTTTGAAACTAAATTTTTCTCAAGCTTCCCTATCACAAGACTTGAGGGGAGGAAGAAAGGGGAGAGGGGGGAGGGGGGGGGTAAGGAGGGAGGAAAGGTGTGTTATGTAGGATGGCCTTGGCTCGCTGTACGCCTAATATTCAGCCTTACTTACCATCACGCATACTTCTCTCGTCCCAACCGTGAATCTTCGACTTATTTGTATACTCGTTTGGTTTGCATGGGGTGTCTCCTGTCTTGAATACACATGAATACACATTTGAAGCAAGGTGGATTTCCCAACCTTGCCTATCGCCAAAACCACATAGGCAATAACAGCAGGGGTTTATAATTTGACGTAACTAATGGTTTAGAATCAGCCTTACCGTCATGCGTAGGTGGTTATCGACAAGCTCTCCGAATATTAGGCTTTGCCCAGCAGATTTGCGCCCGCTTGGAGTCTAGGGTATGATCGGGAGGAAGGGAGAAGGATGGAAGGATTTCTTGGTTGGCGAGGCGCACCGGGAGCTTTGCCCCCTGATGTGTTAAGGTTCCCATCAAGCACAGCTTTATGCCTTGAAACCGTGTGATGGAATGTTGCATGGAGTGTTCGGATTGTCATCACCACTCCATACCAAGGGCTGCCTGAGAACCATGCACTTAGTGATGAACTTGGCAGCCCTGTGGAATAGGTACTGCATTGCAGATGTGACTGAGCTGGCGTGTGGGGGAGAGAGAGAGAGAGAGAGAGAGAGAGAGAGAGAGCAGCAGCAACTCAAAAGTGGGAGATCCACAGATGGGATATAAGATGCCGTGCTTGCTGCTGTACCTGCGTCCCTTGGATGCAGTGCATCGTTCCTGTCTCTGATTGTTGGGGTTTGTTTGGGTTTTCCCCCTGCAAGGAATTGTCGTCAGGTTGGTCGCCCTGGGAACAACCTTCGGTCCTTCATAACAAAACGACTTCATTCCTGGAATTGCTACCACCAAGATCTACTTCTACAGCACCCCGGGAACTACTCCGTAATCAACCTTCACGCAAATCTCTACTCACCTTACAATCTTTGCAGCGGGTATCGTTAGCCAGCTAGCGCAGCAATTCCCGTCAGCGGTTTTTGCTTTTACGACTCAATTCGATATGACAAGCTACACCCTACAGGCTACATGCAGAAAGTAGACTGTAACAGCGGCAGATCATAACCGAGCACCGCAACAACCGTACCATCATCGACGGCCGAGAATCGAGAACCAACCTGGAAGAATCGGCCACCACCACAGCACGATCCAAATTTCCCCCAAAAATCCCTGCCAAGCCAAGCCAAAATAAAAAAAAAGGAAGCTCCCCGGTTGATCACCCCGCACGTGTTGTGGAGTATTACGCGCGCCGAGACGCCTGAGTGGAACACCGCGACGCAAGGACCTAGGTCTAGGTGCGCCCCAAGCTCCAACGGTGGAGAGCTCACCTCACAAACAGCCACAGAAGCTTGGAAGCTCAGCTTGCGCTTGCTGCATTGCCGATCCTCAACCCCGCCAATCGCTGCGCTCATAGGTCATCAGCCGAAAAAAAAAATAAATAAATAAAGAAATAAATCGGCTCCAGGCTCGATGGCGGGCCGCGTCTGCTACTGGCCCCAAGTATTAAACCGGCGACAGCGCCGTCTGGGGTTTACTCTGTGGTTGTTTGGACTGGTTGCTTTTTTGGTACGCCTGTACTTTGCGTGCGACTGGACGTCATATGGTGATGGTTCTCTTGCACTGGGTGCAGGTTGGTTTGGTATAGGGACAGGGTCAGGGTCAGGGTCAGGAACAGGAACAGGGACAGGGACAAAACCAGAAGTGCCGCTGAGCCAGGATCAGACGACTGCTGAGCTTGGGGAAGGACAGGGGGAGAAGCACGAGGCTGAGCCTGTGACGCAAGAGGGGGTCGAAGTCGAGGATATATATTTCGGGGATATGACGGAGATTTTAAGCCAGCGAGCTACAGCTTCGACTACGACCACAACATTCGCTGGACCTGCACCAACGCCGGCTGAGAAACTCCCTAACGGCTCATCAACCACAATGGCTGCGCAAACCCCCGCTGGCCCCCAGTCAAGGCCGTACGTCGTGCTGCCCCAGGGCACTTACATCGGCATTACCGTGCCACAGTCCTACAAGTACCCCAAGGCCTTCGAGGCATTCCGCGGCATTCCTTATGCGCAAGATACTTCTGGTCAAAACCGTTTTCGCCCGCCGCAGCCACTTCCTAAGTCCTCTCAGACCTTCGATGCGCGTTTCTGGGGCCCGGTCTGCCCCTCGGGCGGCGTGCTCCGCCCCAACATGAGCGAGAACTGTTTGAATCTCAACGTCTACCGCCCCGCGGGTATTGTGGTCGACCGCAAGGGCTTTGCTGCAGACGGGAAGCATCCTCGTCTGCCAGTCGCTGTATATATTCACGGTGGTGCCTTCAATTGGGGTCATGGAGGCGAGAGAAACATGGGCAGCTTCATCTCGTGGAACGAACAGCCTATGATCTCGGTCGTGTTCAACTATCGCATCGGCGCGCTGGGCTTCTTGCCGTCCAACGTGACGGAGCGCGAGGGGTTGTTGAACCTGGGCTTGCGCGACCAGCAAATGCTGCTGGAGTGGGTACAGGAGAATATCGAGGCTTTCGGGGGCGATCCGAATAATGTCACGATTATTGGTCTCAGTGCAGGTGCACACTCCATTGGTCATCACATCATGCACTACGCTCGCACGAAGAAGCCGGCGCCCTTCCACAAGGCGATCCTCGAGTCTGGAGCTACGACTGCTCGTGCAGTGCTCTACCCGAACCATCCCCGCCACGAGACACAATTCCGCGAGTTCCTGGCCGCTGCCGGAGCCTCTCACGTCCCCGAGGCCGAGCTCTTCCCCTACCTCCGCAATCTCCCCCTCGAAACCATCATGCGCGCCTCCAACTCCGTCTGGAACAAATACACCGCCAGCGTGACCTGGCCCTTCCAGCCCGTCATTGACGGCCCCAACCCTCACGCCTACTCTCGCCATCTACCATCTGCCCGCGACCTAACCATCCCCGTAATCCCCGACCTCCCCATCGCCTCCTGGCTCGCCGCCTCCCACCTCCGCATCCCCATCATAACGGGCTACAACACCAACGAAGGCACAAACTTCATTCCGCAGCACGCCGATACCCCGGCCGATTTTCGCAACTTTTTCAAGACCCTCATTCCCTCGCTCACCGAAGCCGATCTGGCGGAGCTGGATCGGTTGTACCCCGATCCCGTCGCACACCCAGCTACGAGTCCGTATGTGAAGGTGCCCAAGGGGTTCGGACGGCAATGGGCCAGGCTGGATGCGGCGTATTCGCATTATGCGTATATCTGTCCGGTGTTGCAGACGGCGCATTTCATGACGCTGGCGGGGGTCGAAAATGTGTATGTGTATAGGTATGCGGCGGTTTCCGGGTTGGGGTATGCGAATCACGGGGATGAGGCGGCGGTGGTGAGTCATGATGTCGATGCAATTGGGCGGTGGGCTGGCGTCGTGAAGATAGCGGACGAAATGTGCTCGAGGTGGGGAAGGTTTGTGGTGAGCGAGACGGGGGATGTCAATAGGGGCATTAAGGATTTGAATTGGCCTAAGTTTGTGTCCCCTTTTTCTGAAAAGGAGGGGGCAGGGCAGCTACTGGTGTTTGGAGAGGGGAATAATGAGAGGGCTGGGGGGAAGAGTATGGGTGTACCGGTGCAGGTGAGGACGCTGACTGAGTTGGAGAAGCAGGCGTGCAAGTTTTGGTGGGAGAGGGTTTGGTTGAGTGAGGGCATGGGGGTGCCTAGGGGAGGGGGGGGAAGGCGAGGTTATGACTATATGGTCGGAGCAGCTTGTCGCCTCCGGTTTTACCTCCTTGGTACCGCTACCCGGGAGAGAATGGATGGAGAGGAGAGTTGGGATTGTGGCGACAGGATGAGAAGACTTGGCTTCGCCAATACGAGACGAAGGAACACGGCTACGGATATGGGGCTGTTGGGCAGGTCTCGTTGTTAGGGGAGGATGACTCGCCCCCGCAAAGACCTCGTCAGGTCTTTGTCCTCTTACGGCTACGATCAAAGTCATGCGTTCTCTGCGGAATACTGTTGACACTGCTGGGATGTGTCTTAGTTGTTTTTTTTTTTTTTTT